ATTACCACCTATCCACCTACCCCACCCTCCCCTTGCCTACCCATATTCCTCCCATCATTGCTTTATTATAAATAATGGTGCCTTAAACATGGAGTCTATACATATCATGTGAAATGAGGTGAATGTGTCACTTGAGCAGTTGGCAGGTACAGTAGGTGTAATAGTTGTTTGACAAGGTGGGGTCATTTGTGTATAAAGACAGTAGGTCAACTACCTTCAGTACACACGCACGGACATACAAAACACAGGTGTCACTCACCAGGCTCAGATATGAAGGCTACATCATGTACTATGATATCCCCAGCACCTTCTTTCTTTTCCTCCTCCTTCTTCTTCTTCTTCTTCTTCTTCTTCTTCTTCTTCTTCTTCTTCTTCTTCTTCTTCTTCTTCTTCTTCTTCTTCTTCTTCTTCTTCTTCTTCTTCTTATTATCCTACAGAAGGACAGACAGAAGTTGCACTCACTGCAAGTCAGAAGAAAACATACACTGACAGGTAGGACGGAGGTATAGTAGGAACAATGGATACATCTATCTTTTAGATCTCTGGGTGTACTTTTGTTTAAAGACATAGTAGTAAACATAGATTTAATCTGGGACCTGCAGTGACAAAGAGATTCATTCAACAGAAATAAACAAGCACGATGACTCAGCATCTAAAAGAATGGGTTCTATCAGGTTCCACCTGCCAGGTGTATCCATCCTTGTTTTATTATTCATGACTAATAAAATGACTTATACACACACACACACACACACACACACACACACACACACACACCATTCACATATAGGTACATCCACCTTATGCATATTAGTTCGTTTGTTTGTTTGCTGCTATGGCAGAGTGTTTTGACGGATCATATCGGTGCATATTCCAGATAGAAAGCAAATCCCTACCACAGCAGTGGTAAGGGACCTCTCTGCTTCCTAATCTTGTGGGCACCAGCTCAACAGGTTATGACTGGGTGTGTTTCCTATGTCTATCTTAGATCTGGGTCCCGAGGGTCACAGCACGCCTACCATATGGGTTTCATTGTGGCTTTTAGTCTTTCAGCTAGTCTTTCAACCCCACATATCTCAAGCATGTAAACCTGAGTCTCCTGCTAACTAACACTAACAGAACATAGTGCCATTGTTCCAGACCAGCATACAACGCTGGCAGTTGAGATTCTATTGTGGTATCAAAGTACCTGCTATCGATAATCAATGCAAATCTTAACAAACATTACTTCAAAATGATTATATGCTTATTTTATATTAAAATAAACAGCTGCATTCATTTTCCGAGCCCAATTTCCCAAAAATGTGATTAAATGTGTTTTTCTGAATGAAAGACACATCTAAATGATTGGACATCTAAAAGTGAGAAGAATTAAAGATTAAATAAAGCTCACATCAGCAATTAGATTGGTCACTTTTTTATCAAATACAAACTGCCCAGCCCAATGTGACATACAGTGCATTCGGAAAGTATTCAGACCCATTCCCTTTTTCCACATTTTGTTACGTTACAGCCTTATTCTAAAATGTATTAAATATTTTTGCCCCCTCATGAATCTACACACAATACCCCATAATGACAAAGGGAAAACAGGTTTCTAGAAATGTTTGCAAATTTATAAAAAATAAAAAACTGAAATACCTTATTTAAATAAGTATTCAGACCCTTTGCTATGAGACTCAAAATTGAGCTCAGGTGCATCCTGTGTACATTGATCATCCTTGAGATGTTTCTATAATTTGATTGGAGTCCACCTGTGGTAAATTTAATTGATTGGACATGATTTGGACAGTGCATGTCAGAGCAAAAACCAAGCCAGGAGGTCGAAGGAATTGTCCGTAGAGCTCCGAGACAGGATTGTGTCGAGGCACAGATCTGGGGAAGGGTACCAAAACATTTCTGCAGCATTGAAGGTCCCCAAGAATACAGTCGCCTCCATCATTCTTAAAATGGAAGAAGTTTGGAACCACCAAGACTCTTCCTAGAGCTGGCATCTCGGCCAAACTGAGCAATCGGGGGAGAAGGGCCTTGGTCAGGGAGGTGACCAAGAACCCGATCGTCACTCTGGGGTGAATGTTCACCTTCCAACAGGACAATGACCCTAAGCACACAGCCAAGACAACGCAGAAGTGGCTTCGGGACAAGTCTCTGAATGTCCTTGAGTGGCCCAGCCAGAGCCCGGACTTGAACCCAATCGAACATCTCTGGAGAGACCTGAAAATAGCTGTGCAGCAACACTCCCCATCCAATCTGACAGAGCTTGAGAGGATCTGCAAAGAAGAATGGGAGAAACTCCCCAAAGGTGTGCCAAGCTTGTAGCGTCATACCCAAGAAGACTCAAGGCTGTAATCGCTGCCAAAGGTGCTTCAACAAAGTACTGAGTAAAGGATCTGAATACTTATGTAAATGTGATATTTCCGTTTTTTATTTCTAAAAGCCTGTTTTTGCTTTGTCATTATGGGGTATTGTGTGTAGATTGATGGGGGGGGGGACAATTTAATCTATTTTAGAATAAGTCTGTAACGTAACAACATTTTGAAAAAGTCAAGTGGTCTGAATACTTTCCGAAGGCACTGTAGTAAGACGATACTAAATCCACTTTATAAAGCTGTGTGTTATGGCAAGGGACCTAATTTGGATACGCTTGGCAAGAGTATTCCCAGGATTAAATAAACAATGGATTGGTTTCAGGGTAGATACCAGCGTTGCCAAGACACGCTCTATAAACCAATTAGGCTTCCTTTCACTTTAATTGTTTCCTTGGAGGATTCAAGTCTCCTTTTGGCTTCGCATGGACAAGATACTTGTCTAAAACTAAACACATGGCCCAATCCAAGCAAAACGTCCTCTCTCTCTGTTTGTTCAGTGACTCATTCCACTGGAGTGCCAGATGGGCAGGGTTCACACTTTTGTGACTGTTCTATTGGTTCCATTGCACAAGACATGCTTAATCAAGCCCAGATCTGATGTGATGATGACGATGAACATTAGGTCACATGTTAAAAGATTTGCATAGCTTACTTCACTGTCTGAAGAGCTGCTGTCAGAGGAGGAGGAGGAGGAAGAGGATGAACTGGAATCCTATGTACAAGAAGAAAAATAGGTTATTGCATAATTGACACCAGTAAAGTACATGTCAGTAGATACCTCACCTATTTAGTTAGTTCATACTTTACCTTTAATGAGTGAATGTAATGGATGTGTGTAAGGGTTGGGGTGAGGTGTGACCCAGGTGCGGTGCAGGATAGACAGTAGGCAGTAGGCAAAGAAGGTGAAACAAGGAACTTTACTGGTGGTCCCAAGGCCAGGATAAAAAATAACAGGCCTTATCACGACAAAATAAAGGAGGAGCAAATTGGTCTCCAAAAACAGGCTGACAGCAAAAATACGAAATACTGACTAGGACTGAAAACAACAACGAAATAGGGAGAACACTTCTCAAGTACCTGTACATTCGTCTTGTGATCAAACACTGATTAGTACTGTTTGGCATCGAGAAACTATCAGAGAAAACAGAGCAAGGGAACACAGGGAAGTGAGGGCATAAATACACAGGTGAACAGGTAGACACAAGTGACACCAAACGGAGGATGATTAGTCCCGACTGTGAGTGAGGAGCTGCCTAAGGTTGTCGGAGGATGACACCTAGTGGGTCGCTCCGGAACTGCGACCACCTCCTGTAACAGGCCCATAACCCTCCCAGTACACCAGAAATTGGAGATCCCTCCCCAACAGCCGGCAGTCCAGGATCCGGTCCACAGTCAAAGCAAGCTGCCCTCCGACGAGGCGCAGCGGGGGAACAGGACGAGGAGGGGGAGCCAGGGGACAGGTGGCAACAGGCTAGAGGAGGGACACATGGAATGTGGGATGCACCTGCATGGTGCCTGCCTCCAGGTCAACACCCTTGTAAGGGGGTCCGAGGGCATTTTAAAAGAAATAGCTGTACATCCAACACTTTACTGATATTTTTGTCAATATACCCCAATCACAACTCAAATACCAATATTTGTATGAATTACTTTAAAGAGCAACAACTGAAGGCAAACATCAACTTATCTGTTTGAAAACGGCCTATGTGGCATTGATTTATTCCAGTGCCAAAATGAACTAAAAAGTGTAAGTAGGATAATTTCTGTGAGTTTTGTGAGATTTATGTAACTGAGGTCATCACGATTTACACAATGGTTGGGTTTGGATTACAATCATGCCCACATGAGACCACTGCCGGCGAAGTCTAATCACTGCTGGCAGTAATCAAATTATCTGAAGCGTGCTGCAGTGCATGCTATCCAATCGCTCACCAGAATCAACCTAAAACCTGCCCATTTATTTACAGACAGCCAAACTAACCATTAGCACGCAGCGCCTCAGACTTGTTTAGACAACTATATATACACATGACATGGTCGCAAATGGGGTCATAAAGGAAATCAGAACTAATTAGGCTGAATTCTTTGGACTTTTCCAAAGAATGCATGAGGACGCACTGACCAAATGAATGCATTGAATAAAGTTACTAATGACCATGGAATAAAGTACACACCAGTTGCTGACAGGTGTATAAAATCGAGCACATGGCCATGCAATCTCCATAGACAAACATTGGCAGTAGAATGGCCCATACTGAAGAGCTCAGTGACTTTCAACAGTCACACCATCATAGCATGCCTCCTTTCCAACAAGTCAGTTCGTTAGATTTCTGCCCTGCAAGAGCTGCCCAGTCAACTGTAAGTGCTGTTATTGTGAAGTGGAAACATCTAGGAGCAACAACTGCTCAGCTGCGAAGTGGTAGGCCACACAAGCTCACAGTATGGGACCGCCGAGCGCTGAAGCGCGTAAAAATCGTCTGTCCATGGTTGCCAGCGTTCATACGGTTACGTGATAATTTGGCGCCACCGTGTGGAAGAAATTAGTAGAGACCATGAAAAAAGAACCTACATTTTCTGTCCCCTTTGCGTTTCCGTAGCCAGTGCTAATGTGAACCGTATGGTAAAGAAAAAAGGACCCCTTCGAATACTGTATTTTGGCGGATACCTCTGCTGTAACAGCATCAATGCCTCGCTTTGCACTGGATGTTTGCGCTCAGTGCCAACAGAGAGGGATTTTGCAGTAGCTCGCGCCGATGGTTCTAGACGTGGGAGCTACAGCGATGGGATGATCCACATGTTGACTAATGGTTGTTTAGAAAAAATATGTATTTAGCTAAAGAGATTAACTCAAACATACATCCCTTAAGATCATCACAACGCCGTGACTCGCGCGCGCTCCACTGAATGGAGCAGAATGTCTCCACCAGTGTCGACTCTGCTGTCCGGACTGTGGCTGTGCTTGGTTCTGTCTCGTGCTGCTAGTTCGATGTGGCAGGCCTGTGACAATGGCAAGGTACAATATGAATCATTATGGACTATTTTATACTGCCATATGCAGTGGTGGAAAAAGTACCCAATTGTCATACTTGAGTAAAAGTAAAGATTCCTTAATAGAAAATGACTAAAGTAAAAGTGAAAGTCACCAAGTAACCAGACTACACTATTTTCTTGTTGCCAGGGGCATACTCTCAACACTCAGACATAATTTACAAACGAAGCATGTGTGTTTAGTGAGTCTGCCAGATCAGAGGCAGTAGGGATGACCAGGGATGTTCTCTTGATAAGTGCGTGAATTGGACACATTTTCTGTCCTGCTAAGCATTCAAAATGTAGCGAGTACTTTTGGGTGTCAGGGAAAATGTATGGAGTAAAAAGTACATTATTTTCTTTAGGAATGTAGTGAAGTAAAAGTTGTCAAAAATATAAATAGTAAAGTAAAGTACAGATACCCAAAAAAACTACTTAAGTAGTACTTGATACTTGAAAGTATTTTTACTTAAGTACTTTACACCTCTGGCCATATGTCACATCACTTCACTTTGTATTGCCTGCTTCAAGTATAATAGCTAGACAATCTGGATAATGACCAAGAAGAAAAACCATAGCTATCACGTCAATGCAATGACATGATGAATATATGTGCCATCGATTTTATGTTACCACTCTAGACCGCAAGCAAACTGTGACAGTTTTGTATCTGTATGATTTTTCTGTGACTGACAGCTCTTGCTGGGGAGAGACCTGCCCCCCTCAGTTGCATGGAGCTGTCCTGTGATTTCCTGGCCTGAGTCCACTACTCAGGTAACCATGGCGCTAGCCACTTGAACTATTAACCAGTGTTCCACATAACACACATACAGATTGGTAGTAAACTACTGTAAGCATGAATTACATGTTCACTTAACACAAACTTGAGCATTGATGATTATGAAGCCTATTTATCTTGTTCACTTGGCTTAATATTGTGCATTTGTTGTGTGCATTTTCCCGAGCAAATCCATTGCTGAAACACAGTGTAAACCAGGTCTTTCTCCTCTGTTTGCAGAAGATTCCTAGCATTGACACAAAGTATCCCCCACAGGTAAATCAATCAACTTGGCAAACAGAAAACACAATGAGCTAGCATTATCTTTAGTTAGGAACACATTCTTTCCAAACACTTAGATCACAGTGTAGCTATTACTGATAAGTCTTTGGAGCGACTGATTCGTTACACAAATATACTATAATGAGCCACCAGCTCATTTCCTGCTAGAGAGGGCGCATGACCTGATTGTTCAATTCAATTTAATTCAATAAAAACAGAATTATCCCTGAGAGGCAATTACTTAGGGCACATCTGCAAAAACAACAACTAGACAACATACCACAGTGTTTCTGTCAGGAAGGATAGGATGCAGACGTTGCCTAATCCTGGGCCCCGTTCAGCAGGGCGCAGCGTTGCAGAACGTTCACATAGAAATGTAGAACTAAACATGCCTCTCTGAAATACAGAATGAGAAATCACGCCTGGTCTCTTCATTACATTTTTATCTGCAAATGGCGCTGATACATAAGTCTGCCCTCTTTTCCTGTCTGACCTCAGCCGATCGAGCACGTCTGCATGGACACACCGATCACCTACAATCACACTATCCCCAACAGGTAAGATGCTGCGGACGGACACACACAGAAAGTGTTACATCACCAAGTACACACCATACACACTCACCTGGGAACATGTGTCAAATACAGTTAATTATGACAGGCTGTTAAATGTGCACTCCATTTCTCATGCAAATATTCATTTATATTACTTTGTAATAACTCTTTAATGTGACTATGTAATAAATCTGTATGTAAACAGCCAAATACATTTTCTGGGCAAGTTGCCATAACCATAAATAAAAACTGCTCCTGACCTGCCTGATGGGCAAGTGCCTCTGAGGGCTTAATGTCAATTCCTGTGTTGCATGCCATTTAGTGTACTGTCATTTTGTGGGTGGTTTCTGTAGTGGTGCTCACCGGACTGTAGGGGCAGAGAGTGGAGAGTACCTGTACTGCCCCCCTCAACGCTGGCTCAACAACCTGCAGGTAACCACTAAAACCATGACACCACACACAACCTCACAGAGATACAGTGTGGAGAACAAGTATTTGATACACTGCCGATTTTGCAGGTTTTCCTACTTACAAAGCATGTAGAGGTCTGTAATTTTTATCATAGGTACACTTCAACTGTGAGAGACGGAATCTAAAACAAAAATCCAGAAAAACACATTGTATGATTCTTAAGTAATGAATTTGCATTTTATTGCATGACATAAGTATTTGATACATCAGAAAAGCAGAACTTAATATTTGGTACAGAAACCTTTGTTTGCAATTACAGAGATCATACGTTTCCTGTAGGTCTTGACCAGGTTTGCACACACTGCAGCAGGGATTTTGGCCCACTCCTCCATACAGACCTTCTCCAGATCCTTCAGGTTTCGGGGCTGTCGCTGGGCAATACGGACTTTCAGCTCCCTCCAAAGATTTTCTATTGGGTTCAGGTCTGGAGACTGGCTAGGCCACTCCAGGACCTTGAGATGCTTCTTACGGAGCCACTCCTTAGTTGCCCTGGCTGTGTGTTTCGGGTCGTTGTCATGCTGGAAGACTCAGCCACGACCCATCTTCAATGCTCTTACTGAGGGAAGGAGGTTGTTGGCCAAGATCTCGCGATACATGACCCCATCCATCCTCCCCTCAATACGGTGCAGTCGTCCTGTCCCCTTTGCAGAAAAGCATCCCCAAATAATGATGTTTCCACCTCCATGCTTCACGGTTGGGATGGTGTTCTTGGGGTTGTACTCATCCTTCTTCTTCCTCCAAACACGGCGAGTGGAGTTTAGACCAAAAAGCTCTATTTTTGTCTCATCAGACCACATGACCTTCTCCCATTCCTCCTCTGGATCATCCAGATGATCATTGGCAAACTTCAGACGGGCCTGGACATGCGCTGGCTTGAGCAGGGGGACCTTGCATGCGCTGCAGGATTTTAATCCATGACGGCGTAGTGTGTTACTAATGGTTTTCTTTGAGACTGTGGTCCCAGCTCTCTTCAGGTCATTGACCAGGTCCTGCCGTGTAGTTCTGGGCTGATCCCTCACCTTCCTCATGATCATTGATGCCCCACGAGGTGAGATCTTGCATGGAGCCCCAGACTGAGGGTGATTGACCGTCATCTTGAGCTTCTTCCATTTTCTAATAATTGCGCCAACAGTTGTTGCCTTCTCACCAAGCTACTTGCCTATTGTCCTGTAGCCCATCCCAGCCTTGTGCAGGTCTACAATTTTATCCCTGATGTCCTTACACAGCTCTCTGGTCTTGGCCATTGTGGAGAGGTTGGAGTCTGTTTGATTGAGTGTGTGGACAGGTGTCTTTTATACAGGTAACGAGTTCAGACAGGTGCAGTTAATACAGGTAATGAGTGGAGAACAGGAGGGCTTCTTAAAGAAAAACTAACAGGTCTGTGAGAGCCGGAATTCTTACTGGTTGGTAGGTGATCAAATACTTATGTCATGAAATAAAATGCAAATTCATTACTTAAAAATCATACAATGTGATTTTCTGGATTTTTGTTTTAGATTCCGTCTCTCACAGTTGAAGTGTACCTATGATAAAAATTACAGGCCTCTACATGCTTTGTAAGTAGGAAAACCTGCAAAATCAGCAGTGTATCAAATACTTGTTCTCCCCACTGTAGCTAATATGTTTAATTAGTCCAGTATTGCCACAACAGATTGTCCAACTCTAATCAGTCTCTACTGTTGATGTGTGTGTGTGTTTGCAGCATGGAGCAACAGTGTTGCTGTACCATCCGTGTGCTCCTGTTCGTCAGCGTGACCTGCTGTCTGTCCTGGGACACTGCTGTCTGTCTGACTATATCATAACGCCACACCCTGACCTCAGCACATACCGGGTGAGTGAGTCACCACACATGATAAAGTCAATCTCAAAGGAAACATTGCCTTTACTTACACTAAGATATCAGTAGAAGTGATTTACCATCTACTCTGTACTAGTTTGTGAAATGGCTGATATCCCAATAGATGTGCTGAAATCCCAAGGGAACCATATCCTTACCAATAGGATTCTAGAAAACCCACAATGGCACGCCGTAGTGGCATAGTTGACCCTGATTATAGATTACACTGAAAACAGACACCACCTCACAAACCATGTCAACTATGATAGCAGGGCATTCAATTGACACCCCAACAGATGCATAGACAAAGTCAAAACAAGACACCGGAATGTTCCTTCTATCAATGGGGAACACAGTATAATACATCTTCAGAGTGCCCTGTCATGGAAATGAGGGTTGTGTTCATTAGGGCACACAGTTACAAAACAAGGGGGAAAGCGAACGTTTCTTATTGGATAAATAAAGATAGCACTTACCCATTTTCTTCCTTTTGGTGCCTACTGAACATAACCTTGTGGTGACTGATTCTCTCTCCTGTTGAAGCCGTTAGCGCTGGTGTCCTGGGGTCGCACGCTGGAGCTGTCCCACGTGACCACGCTGGAGGTCTGTGATTGGCTGCAGTTGACAGCGGCACACGATAACCGTGGCGGCGTGGGTCAAAGCAGACAGTATAACTTGCTGTTGACCCATCCTGCAGATCACAAACACGCATACCCAAAGCAAAAGGTGAGCCAGAAGACAGAGAGGAGAGGGCACTACATGGTTGAAAGTTTGAAAGACAGCATAAAGCAGTGGTATTCAAACCTTTTCAGTGGGAACCACATTTCTTTTGCCAGAATTTCTGGGGACCCCATTCCACCCCAAATCTACTGACACAACAATCAAATCTGTACATTTTGATTTTCACATCAACAAATAACCTTAAATTCATTACATTTTCATCGCTTTTAACCAAATTAAAAGAACCAATATACATAAAATGATCTGTACTCTGACATTTTTGGTATTTGGCGAACCCACTGCAATTCCCCCGCAACCAGGGTCGCGACCCCGACTTTGAATACCACTGGTGTAAAGTAACGTGATGCCCTGAAGCTGTCGTAGAATGATTTGACTGTTTGGATGATTTACTGAGTGTACCTTTTTGTCGATCATCACCAGTCTCTGAGGCAGTGCTGTGAGGAGTCCCTCTCTCTGCTCCTGGATGGACGGTTGGAGGTGACAGACTGGGGGAGAGGGAGGGTCCGCAAGAGCCGAGCTACACTCAGGAAGGAGGGGAAGGAGAAGAAGAGACGGGCCATCCTGGACAGAACCGAGCCGAACAGAGTCCAGAAACATGGAACCACGCTCAAACCTGAAGCACAGAGCCCAGCCACACTGAGGGCTACACAGAGAGGCACGGACCGAGGACTCAAAGTGACTCAATCTCGCCGCAGAGAAAATTACACTAATGAAAAAGATCCCAGAGGCAAAGTGAGAGAAAAAGACTGGGTGAACCAGAACGAAGCAGAGGACAAGAGGCAGAGCGGGAAAACTGGAGACGTCCAGGAGAGAGAGGTGAAGAGCAGCAGAAACGAGGGAGAGATACAGCACCTTAAGTCTCCAACCAAGTGGAAAAAGCGTCTTTCTCAGACTCAGCCCAAGCAGCTGGCTGTCACTCAGGCTAAAAGCCAGGACAGGAGAGCAGACTGTGATGGTAGGGTGGGCCACTGCGAGTGCACTGAGACGGTAGCTCCGCTAGGGGGTGCTGCGGCTGGACCCGGTGACAGGATGCCGCCCACTCCGCGGACAGACGAGGCGTTGTGGGCGGCAGCGGCGTTGGGCTTCCTCCTGGTGCTGCTGGTGCTGTCCGTGCTGCACACACGCCTCTACCGCCACTGGCGCACAACGCCCAGCATGTACTGGCACGACCCCAAGCAGGACTACGACAGGGTGGCAGGTGGGTTCATTGGGGCTCACACATTCCCCCCTCCTCAACACACACTTCGTAGGGCCCTATAAAATCTGCGTTGCGTAGAATGTGGACGGAATCACGGAATGCAGACATTAAAATGGAATTCAACAATATAAAAAAATATATTTACTTAGTAAGAAATCAACTAAAGGTATTGAACTTAGAACATTTTTAATTTGCGTAAGATTATCATTATACATGAACAACGTGTGCGTGCATGTATATGTGTGTGTGGTGCGCACATACAATATGTCTATACCAGGGATGAGCATCTTCGATGGGGGTGGGGGCCACAAAAAATCTGAACTCATCATGAGGGGCCACAGTTGCTCGCGGGTCTGCATACCCACATCTACATCCAATTCTACACATTTTGCCATAGGGTGGAGAGAAATGTTTGCAGTTTTGAATATGACATCTGAGTGAGACTGACTAACAAAATCAATGGGGGCCCCCCGACCGATAATTCAAACATAACAAGTTTAGATAGCTGGCCGCAAAACTAACTTAGCAATCTAAAAATGTTTTGCTGACATGGGCTAATTGACTGACTGTCAGTGACTGACATAATGAGGAAAACTGCTGATGCACAACCACATTTCGAAATTGCACCTTGTATTCAAATCAAATCACATTTTAATTGGGGTAATATGTACATGTAGGTAGAGTTATTAAAGTGACTATGAATAGATAAAACAGAGTAACAGAAGCTACTATTTTAACTTGCAACAGTAAGTTGAGACCCCGACTGAGTTCCTCAATTTTTTTACATTTTTTGGGAAATTGATCAGAGGGCCTTAAAAAAGGTTAAAAAGTCTAGTTGCCCATCCCTGGTCTACACTTTGTGTAGCCGTTAGCGATGATGCTAATGTAATGATAACCGTCTTCTGGAAAGGCTTTCCCAAAAACCTTTTCAATTAAATTCAACTACTAGAATATCATTCTTCACCTGGAAGAATGACATCATGATTATTTGAATCAATCCAGTGGCCATTTGTTTTGCAAACTCTGCATTTCCATGAGCGCTACAGAAACATCGCTAACCAAACAACAGTCTCTTGCTGGTACACACTGGAATTAAAGGGTAACTACACCCACATATCAAACATTTCTTAGATTTATACCAGACCTAAAAAGTGGTCTCCAGATGTGGTTTAAGCATTGTTGTGGACTTAGAACATATGATTTTGTTGTTTTACTATTAAATAAATATTGATTTTGAGAGCAAAAACCTGAAAACGGAAAAAACGGAAACCTAAAAATAACATTAAAAAAATCAGCCTCATCATAACTGATTTTATAGGGCCCAAACTTTTACAACTGAGCGTTGTCCTTACTGTTAATCCTCTTTTGCAGTTGTTCTAATAAGGGGTGTGTGTTGTGTGTCTTAGATGTGATCCGCAGGAGGCTGAAGATGCCAGGGAGGAGGAAGAGGAGGGCGTCCAAGAGTCGAAGACAGGAGTGTGTCCTCCTACCACCGAGCTCCAGCACAGAGGAGGACGAGTAGAAACAGATCTGTCTCATCCCTCCGTTTATTTACCCGTCTTGTCTTTAGCCCTGTGAGAAGAGAAGTACGAGGAGAGGACATTGGGACCTAAAAGCAGGGTACTCCCACTGGCCTAATAACATTGCTCTGCTGAAGAAACTGAGCATTTTATGGATTATTTTGTAACGAGATCTCAAACAGATGAATCTTCTATTGCCGGTAGTTAAGAAGGAATATTTTAGTATTTTAACTGTCATATAACACTCCATAGTACAAAACCCCATTCAATCAGATCACATTACAGTAGATCATTCACAATCACCGCTAATGACACAATTTAACTACACATTCAAACATGTTCACATAGGGGCAGATTCAGATTTAGGAAATGTAAGCCTTTCCTACGCACTTCGATGTAGTTGGTATTCAGACTTGCCATATGAAGGTGTGCAATAAGATTTGCGGGTGTGGATCCCACAATAAATGTAATTAAATCCCAGAAAACACACCCACTAGGTAGCTGACAGAATTGACCAGGGAGTTTTCGTTCAATTCGTTTTTCTGTTCAATTATCTAAAGCAATCCCTTTAAATATTTATTTAGACAGTGAAGCTAACATTTTACATTTTAGATCAAATGTTTCCTATGAGGCGACAGTACAGAATGTCACCTTTAATTTGAGGGTATTTTCGTACATATCTGTTTTACCGTTTGAAGAAGTATTTGGACAAATTCACTTAGTGTATTGGTTGTCAAACGTTTCGTATTTGCACTCAATGATTACATCAAGCTTGTGACCCTACAAGATTTTATTGTAAGTCAGAATAGAATATGTTTCTGAACACTTTACATTATCGATAATCATGAATGAATCGTAAATAATGAGCCAGAAGCTTGATGTAGTCTTTGAGTTCAAGGAATATGGAACCAAATACTAAACTTTTGATTACTTTACACTAAGTGAATTTGTCCAAATACTAACGACTTCTTCAAATGGGTGGACTAGATATAAAGTGCTTTAATTTCTAAACATTAAAACAGATATGTATGAAAATACCCTCAAGCTGACATTCTGTACTGTCTCCTAATATATCCCAAAATGCTGAAGTATAGAGCCAAATTAAAATGTTTAGCTTCACTGTCCAAATACATATGTAGGGGAGTATAGTTGCATTGTCTTGCAGTAGTGTGTACGATTCCATCAAATACTGTTGTGTGATAGTAATAAATAATTGTTTTTTAATCATGTTTTGTGAGTTATAGTTTTAATTAAATATATGTATTATTGCCACATACACCAGATAGGTGCAGTGAATCAAGACATGGACAGAGTGTTGTTGTATGTTGATTATTGCTTTGCTCCTACTACACTACGGCCAGTGTACTCCTATGAAGCTATTGGTTGGAAGCTAACCGTTTCAACCACAGAACTAGAGTAATTCTATTTCTATGGTTTCAACAACCACAGGATATTAATTATGTTGCTATGCAGGCAATGAAAACACTTGGGAGCAGCAATACCCGTTGCAGGCTTTAAAAAAAATGTTTTATCTACTGTGTGATGTTTACTAGTAATCCAGTATCAGATGTAGCTACCCGGAACATATCCCAGTCACTTCGCCGACACTGACGTCTCGCTTCCAGACAAGCTAAACACGTTCTTCGCCCGCTTTGAGGATAACACAGTGCCACTGATGAGGGCCCACTACCAAGGACTGTGGCCTCTCCTTCTCCATGGCCAACATGATTAAGACATTTAAGCATTTTAACCCCAGCAAGGCTGCCCGCCCAGACGGCATCCCTAGCCGCGTCCTCAGAGCATGCGCAGACCAGCTGGCTGGTGTGTTTATGGACATATTCAATCTCTCCCTTTCCCAGTCTGCTGTTCCCACATGCTTCAAGATGGCCACCATTGTTCCTGTACCCAAGAAAGCATGGGTAACAACTAAATGACTATCGCCCTGTAGCACTCAATTCTGTCATCATGAAGTGCTTTGAGAGACTAGTCAAAGATCATATCACCTCTACCTTACCTGTCACCCTAGACCCACTTCAATTTGCTTACCGCCCCAATAGATCCACAGACGATGCAATCGCCACACTCTGCACACTGCCCTATCCCATCTGGACAAGAGCAATACCTATGTAAGAATGCTGTTCATTGACTATAGCTCAGCATTCAACACCATAGTAGCCCCCAAGCTCATCATCAAGCTCGAGGCCCTGGGTCTGAACCCCGCCCTGTGCAACTGGGTCCGGGACTTCCTGACGGGCCGCCCCCAGGTGGTGAAGGTAGGAAACAACATCTCCACTTTGCTGATCCTAAACACTGGGGCCTCACAAGGGTGCGTGCTCAGCCCCCTCCTGTACACCCTGTTCACCCATGACTGCGTGGCCAAGCACGCCTCCAACTCAATCATCAAGTTTGCAGACGACACAACAGTAGTAGGCTTGATTGCCAACAATGACGAGACCGCCTACAGGGAGGAGGTGAGGGCTCTGGGAGTGTGGTGCCAGGAAAATAACTTTTCACTCAACGTCAACAAAACAAAGGAGATGATCGTGGACTTCAGGAAACAGCAGAGGGTGCACCCCCCCTATCCACATCGACGGGACCGCAGTGGAGAAGGTGGAAAGCTTCAAGTTCCTTGGCGTACACATCACCGACAAACTGAAATGGTCCACCCACGCAGACAGTGTGGTGAAAAAGGTGCAACAGAGCCTCTTCAACCTCAGGAGGCTGAAGAAATTTGGCTTGGCACTTAAAACCCTCACAAACTTTTACAGATGCACAATTGAGAGCATCCTGTTGGGCTGTATCATCACCTGGTACGGCAACTGCACCGCCCGTAACCGCAGGGCTCTCCAGAGGGTGGTGCGGTCTGCCGAACGCATTATCGGGAGCAAACTACCCGCCCTCCAAGACACATACAGCACCCGATGTCACAGAAGGCCAAAAAGATCTTCAAGGACATCAACCACCCGAGCCACTGCCTGTTCACCCCGCTATCATCCAAAAGGTGAGGTCAGTACTGGTGCATCAAAGCTGGGACCGAGAGAATGAAAAACAGCTTCTATCTCAAGGCCATCAGACTGTTAAATAGCCATCACTAGCACATTAGAGGCTGCTGCTGCCTATTGAAATCACTGGCCACATATTATGAAGAGTGATCAGATAAATTGGGCGGCAGGTAGCTTAGTGGTTAAGAGCGTTGTGCCAGTAACCGAAAGGTCGCTGGTTCTAATCCCCGAGCCGACTAGGTGAAAAATCTGTCGATGTGTCCTTGAGCAAGGCACTTAACCCTAATTGCTCCTGTAAGTCGCTCTGGATAAGAGCGTCTGCTAAATGACTAAAAAAATTAATAATAATAGCAATTAATTGCAAAATCCCTCTTTGTCATGAAAATGAACTTAATCCCCAAACTGCATTTCAGCCCTGCCACAAAAGGACCAGCTGACATCATGTCAGTGATTCTCTCGTTAACACAGGTGAGAGTGTTGACGAGGACAAGGCTGGAGATCACTCTGTCATGCTGATTGAGTTAGAATAATAGACTGGAAGCTTTAAAAGGAGGGTAGTGCTTGAAATCATTGTTCTTCCTCTGTTAACCATGGTTACCTGCAAGGAAACACATGCCGTCATCATTGCTTTGCACAAAAAGGGCTTCACAGGCAAGGATATTGCTGCTAGTAAGATTGCACCTAAATCAATCATTTATCGGATCATCAGAACTTCAAGGAGAGAGGTTCAATTGTTGTGAAGAAGGCTTCAGGGCGCCCAAGAAAGTCCAGCAAGTGTCAGGACCGTCTACTAAAGTTGATTTAGCTGCAGGATCGGGGCACCACCAGTGCAGAGCTTGCTCAGGAATGGCAGCAGGCAGGTGTGAGTGCATCTGCACGCACAGTGAGGTGAAGACTTTTGGAGGATGACCTGGTGTCAAGAAGGGCAGCGAGGAAGCCACTTCTCTCCAGGAAAAACATCAGGGACAGACTGATATTCTGAAAAAGGTACAGGGATTGGACTGCTGAGGACTGGGGTAAAGTCCTTTTCTCTGATGAATCCCCTTTCCGATTGTTTGGGGCATCCGGAAAAAAGCTTGTCCGGAGAAGACAAGGTGAGCGCTACCATCAGTCCTGTGTCATGCCAACAGTAAAGCATCCTGAGACCATTCATGTGTGGGGTTGCTTCTCAGCCAAGGGAGTGGGCTCACTCACAATTTTGCCCAAGAACACAGCCATGAATAAAGAATGGTACCAACACATCCTCCGACAGGAACTTCTCCCAACCATCCAAGAACAGTTTGGTGACGAACAATGCCTTTTCCAGTATGATGGAGCACCTTGCCATAAGGCAAAAGTGATAACTAAGTGGCTCGGGGAACAAAACATAGACATTTTGGGTCCATGGCCAGGAACCTCCCCAGACCTTAATCCCATTGAGAATTTGTGGTCAATCCTCAAGAGGAGGGTGGACAAACAAAAACCCACAAATTCTGACAAACTCCAAGGATTGATTATGCAAGAATGGGCTGCCATCAGTCAGGATGTGGTCCTGAAGTTAATTAACAGCATGCCAGGGCGGATTGCAGAGGTCTTGAAAAAGAAGGGTCAGCACTGCAGATATTGACTCTTTACATAAACTTAATGTAATTGTGTGTCAATAAAAGCCTTTGACACTTATGGAATGCTTGTAATTATACTTCAGTATACCATAGTAACATCTGACAAAAATATCTAAAAACACTGAAGCAGCTAACTTTGTGAAGACCAATACTTGTGTCATTCTCAACTTTTGACTACGACTGTTCACAATCCATGTCTCAATTGTCTCAAGGCTTAAAAATCCTTCTTTAACCTGTCTCCCCTTCATCTACACTGATTGATGTGGATTTAACAAGTGACATCAATAAGGGATCAGTCTGTCATGGAAAGTGCAGGTGTTCTTAATGTTTTGTACACTGCCAGGACTGAATGAGGTGCGTTTCTTCATCACTGGTTATTTGCACAAATCAGGATTTCGCAGGTGTTAGCATCTTTCATTTTTTGGAAGGAATGAGAGGGGACGTTCGGCCCGTTACATGCGAAGAGAGGGTTCCGCTCCTCATTACGTGACACTTTAGTTCTGGGTTAACCGAGATTATGACCCATAGGGCTCTGGTCAAAGTAGTGCACTATAAAGGGAATAGGGTCCCATTTGGGACACAGAGTATGCCATTACTATGTAATGAGCTGTGATTAAATGTTAAAGACTTCAGACATAAAGCTAACAACCTGTGAAATCATTCACACCAAGACGACAGTTAAAGTGTGACTACATGAACCAGAGAGACAGTGAGAGAGACTGTAGTTTGTACAGTTTACCCAGAACGGTGCTTTGATACAACCTTTGGCTTACCTCCTGATGTAGGTACCAAGCATCTCGAACGAAACAAAAAAATACATCAATTTAGGACAATTCACTTGTTTTTTTGTTTTTATTAGAAATGTACAGCTTATGAGTTTCCATTACGATTTACCTTTTTTAAATGTTCTACTTTTTACCGTTTTTACCTCTGTTAAAAGATATTCTCCCATCACTGATTTCCCAGGTAAAGAGGTGTGTGTGGTACGGGGCACAGTGCAGTGCCACTGTCTGAACAACATGATGACGAGTGTGTGTTCGTTGTGCATTGAATGCGGGATGCATATGTGAAAATGTGCACAACATGGAGGCAGACTGACGCGTCTAACATTCCCAACATTCCCACTAAAAAGGGACCCTATACTAAAGTGTCCACTAAGAAAAAGAAGGGGGAAAGGCGTAGCATTGTGCAAAAGCCCTTTCCCCTCAGACTTGAGATGAGTTTAGTTCTAACCAGTGGCAGACTTCAGACCCTATTCAGTTCCCCCCCTCAGGCCTGGAACCCACCATGGCAAGCAGAAATAGATCTGATCTCCCAAACACAATACGAACATACAGCTTAATAAAAAAATAGCATGAAAATATGTTTATATATAGGCCTTTATTCTATAACAGGTTGTCTGAGAGGTAAAGGAGGACATTGTAATGGGGAAGAAAGTATTTTATACTGGCCCAGTGTGTCTGTGTGTGTGTGAGATGGTGATAGATAATCAACTGAGGGAACCCAAACAGCTACAACATCACTAAGCATTAAGCCAGTCTAGCAGGAGACGTGCAAAGGCAATCGTGATTGGAACTTTACATTTGACAAATCTTTTGGACCTGATTTGACGGGGAACAGATAAAAGATCTCATCCCCCTACAGGTTCATTAAATGTCGTGAACACATGAGAGCACAGTCAGGCGGATAGTTAAACGAAAGGGACCCCGTGGATAAGTGAACATGGGTCAAGCTGACATGGAAGCCCTTTCAGGTGTCCAGGATCACACAAGCCGTGTGTTTGGGTCCAAATAGTCCCTCCCTGTTTCAGTTAGTTTTCATCCATTTAGTTCCTAAATAACATGACCCAGATCCATCTAACAGACGATCACTGAAGTCCTTGATGCGAAGAAATCAAACTAAATACGTGGAGTGCTATGGTCGGCATGTGTCACTTAGCTAAGTGTGACCGTTCATTGGTTTAGCACAGTATAAAACAGGGCAACTTTTCCCAGTGCCCCCACAAACCTACAGCAAGTGCAGTTTGTCATTTTCACAAAACATTTGTTCCCAATCTAGCTACTCTGCCTCGAGTTGGCATATGTTAAAGAGCAAGCTTTGTATGGATCCCACTGTAGTGCCATTGAGATGATGAGCTTTATCTAGTGACTGAAGCAGCCAATGGCTGCATAATATATTCACTTCCTTGTCATGCCGCTACCAGGTCTTTTTCTACTGATAGCATATTCTACCCCTTTCCTTCCCCTTTGGCTACTGACATATTAGAACATGACAGGTAGAAACCAAAAAAATCTAGGAAATAAAAACTGAAATGTCACCCGGGAGGATTTGGACTGCTCCAGGAGTGTTTGAGGACCATTTCACAAGTTAGTGTTTGTGTGTGTGCACGTGTAAAGATCCAGTCAGACAGAAGGCGAGCGAGTATTCTCACAGCTCTCCCTGGTCCTCTAAACAGGAACCATCATACATGAGACGACTTCAAAATAAACATAAACATACATGATAATGTAATTCATGACCGTAAAAATAATACAAAACAATGGGCATAATAATAATCACAATAATTCCAGTGTAAGTGTTTTTTTCTTAAATCAGTCAGTCTTGTCCCCAGAGGTACAGGCCAACAGATTGGTATAAAAAACGAAACCAAAAAAAAAAAACATGAAAAGAATAAGGTCCAGCCTGCCTCTGTCTCATGAGGGTTTGAGGCGCTGCACAGAGAGGGGTGTTGAAGGGATCCCCCCCCTCTCCAAAGGAACGATGGAGTGAGATCATAGTGAGATGATGAGAGCTGAGCTGCTGTGTCCATCCCCTGCATGTGATTACTGTCTCAATGGTCCACACTCCTCTTCCTCCTTAGAGTCCCCTCCCCCGCAGAACTGCTCTCTCTCAGTCTAGTGGTGAGAGCTGCAGCCATTTCTCAGCTTCGTTCCATTGTAATATAATATTACCACCTGGTCTTCCCCCGCTCTTCATTCTCTACCTTCAATTCCTCTCATTTCATCTTTATTCATCCTCAGAGATCTTTTCGGTCTGCAGCCAATATAGCTTCTCCCCTTGGCTGGCATTTCCCTCTCCCTCGCGATGCCAACCTTCCAAGTCTCGTTCATCACTTGACTAGGAAGCTTGGAAAACGATGCTACCACCATCCCTCTCCCCTCCCTTTGTCAGTCTTGCAGCCCCCCTTGCCACTCCCCTGTCCGTCCCCTCTCTACCCCCGTCAATGTTTCTTCTCGCGGGTGGTGATGGTGACCAGTTGCTTGGCAGCCTTGGCGATGTCATAGGCGCACTGGATGACCTGCTGGGTGAGCAGCTGGTAGTCGACGGCGGGCGCTGACAGTTCCGAGGGTGCCGCCTTGCGACACTCCACCTGGAGGCGGGAGGCGCTGGACGCCAGGAGGCGCAGGGAGCAGTGCACGGCGTCTAGAGCAGGCCGCTGAGGGGAGACAACACTTACTGCTTAAAGCTACAATCCATATTTGGTCCCCAAAAAATGTGCAGTACATATTCTTCTGTTCTATCATGCATTAAAAAAAAAGTTGTTTGAAGCAACTTCTTTGTTGTTGTAATAATAAACAACAAAAACAACAACAATAATAACAACAACAACAACTGGTGGTGGCAGTTTCACACAATACGGAATCTTTAAGGAAATTCTAGAAAAAGAGAGAGAGAGCGCAAAACCTTACCTTGGGAAAGAGAGAGGCCATTTCAGTGACAGCAGAGTGGATCTTCTCAGAGCATGGAATGAAACTGGGTAACATAAGACAACCTCTTGTTACCACCATAGATACAACGTAAGCCAAACTCAAGTTACCACCATAGATACAACGTAAGCCAAACTCTTGTTACCACCAGATGCAACGTAAGCCTCACCCGACTGTGTCATGGAGTGAGTCTCGTAGTCAGGGCCTACCTGTCGTGTTTGAACTCCTGTGCGGCCCTCAGAAGCTCCTGGATGTTTTTGGTCACCTGCTCCGTCTTGAGGATGACGTCTTCGGTGCAGGGCAGGGTAGGGTCTGGCTCACCCCCTTCACCCCCACCCCACTCCTCAGACTCCCCCCGGCCCTCCTCTTCACTGCTGCGCCCCCTACTGTAAGACACACACAAAATCAGTACAATCTCTACATTAGCCTGCAATTCCCACATTGAGATGAGAAGAGAGGTAAGCATCTCTGAAGTAATCACCACAGTAAATATGTCCTTGACAAAGACTAAGTCAGTCAGTCTGCTAGATGTCTAGGTAGACCCTCGAGCCCGGCCTGTCTGCCCCCGCTCCACGTTGGGGGAGACTCCAGAATGACCCGGTCACTGGCCAGCCATCTGCTCTAGATATCCCTCCACCACCCCAGACTTACCTTAGCGACAGCTCATATGTCTGAGTGTTGTCATAGTCACTATCAGTACCACTGCCGTGCTTCTCTCCTTTAGGGCCCTGTGGACAAACAGAACACCTTATCAGCATCAATGGTAGCAGTAGTGATTCTAAAGGCAGACATCAGTGAGAGTATGGCAAGGCATTTATTAACCAAACAATAGCAAGCCATTCACACAAACAATTACACTAAGCCACAATATACAATCCTCAGCAATGTATCAGCTCATATTGGTGTATAAAACAGTGTCAGCATTCATAAGACGCCACTGAATGTTTCAGCCGTCACGGTCTGGGGTTGGTCGCGAAGTAGCCTGGAAGTCACAGATGAGTTGACCAACTGTAAAGGAGGGCGACAGCCAGCCAGTCTTACCATGTATCTCCCCATCTCCATTGAGCCAGAGAGGTGTGGTCCTCCATAGGGTGTCGGACAGCCAGGACCCCCCTTCCTCACCTGGAGGTGGGACAGAACGGGACAGGAACTCAGAGGAGGACGAGAAGCAACAGAGGAACCGCAGAAGGAACACCGCCTGACAATTATGTTTAGTAGGAAGATTCCAATCAAACACTAGGATACGCTATCCATTCTTGAGCAGAGTCAGCTCAGCTTTGTGTGGGGAGATACTAGCCCATATGTCGAGGTCAAATTAGAATTGTTTTATCAAATAACTAACTAAAACTCAACAGCCAAACTGCCGAGCAACTTTCCCCAGGACAGGCTTATACTGAAAATGTAGTCAGTGAGAGTACAACCCAAGTTGACTGGAATTCAAAGGAAATGTGTGAGTTTTGAGCTAGGTCCTGCCAAGTAGTTAGTGAGCCACTATCCCAGACCAACTCACACACAGGAGTACATCATTAACATTAGCAGATACACAAACATACTGTCTGACATACACAGGAGAAGACAGAGGAGCCGGTTATCTTTCATTAGCTTGCCTCACATCACGTCTCCTCTCTAGCCACATTCACAATAGATGACCTGACCAGTAGCCGGGGCCCGTATTCATAAAGCGTCTCAGAGTAGAAGTGCTGATCTAGGATCAGTTTCGGCTTTTACAATGATAATAAATAGGGGGGGAGGGGGGGGTCCCTGATCTTAGCTCAGTACTCCTACTCTGAGACACTTTATGCAGGCCCAGACAGTCAGCACAATTATAGACACAGCTCACTGACATAAGGGCCTATGCTGTGAGTTATCCCAGAGAGTATGGCCAGTAGGACACTCTTGGACTAACTAGATGAAGACTGATCATCTATGTGAATATTTGTATGCTGGCATATGCTGTATGATACACAAATAATGTCCATACAATGAAGTCTTCGTCATCTGTGCTTTTCAACAGAGCACTGGGTTTTACCACTGTGTGGCCCAAACTGTACAACTTTTAAAAGGGGCAATCTGGGATTGGTAAATCCATTTTTTTACTTTTAAATTAATGATATACAGTATAGCCATATCATCATAAAAAATTACTTATAAATGCCTTATTAGCATCAATGCGAGACATACACAGAAAAAACACATAGTAAACAACTTATCTAGATATATCCTAGCATATAGAACTCTCTAGGTTCTATAATTATTATTTTTTAAAACATGAACAAACTACACAATAAGAAATTGTGCATTTGCTAATGCCCTACAAAATACAAACTAAAAAGAGACATGGAAAAATGCATGGATAAACCAAACTGATATATGCATTGGGATTTTGCATCACCCGCATGGATAATGGAATGTAAAGGTTGGATGCAACAATGAGCACAATCAAAGACAGACAGGATAGACAGATGGATGTACACAGAATGCGAGCAACAGACAGACAGAGACAGGAGTCAGGACAGATGGACAGACAGACTGACTTTACCTCCTGGCTTCCTATGCAAGTCCCATACCAGTCAGAGTGGCTGGAAGCAGGGGAGAGTGAGTGCGTGCGTAAGTATTGCATCAGCTTAGAGCGCAGACAGACTAACACGAACGGTGGCCGTGTGCAGCTGGTGCGCAGCAGGTGGCCGTCCTATCGCCTCTGACCACAGAACATCAGCCGTCATTTTCTGTTCATTTCCACATGTTGAATTGCCACTGTTTGTCAACACACCCAACAGGTGATCCAAGCACTGCTGACATTCGTGTAGGTCTGCCTGCCCTCTTAGTTCCACTGTGACCGAGTGGGTCAGTGACTAACTGACACTGACACAGTGCCTTGAAGGATCCATTGAGAAGTGTGTATGGCTATTGGCTAACAGTGCAGGTCAAACCACTAACATTCCTGATGCTTGTGCTGCACACACTAGTGGTAGGGAATGGGAAAGCTATGATACGGGAGTTAGACATCTTCACTCATCAATGGTGGGAAAGCTACCTGCCATCTTAGCTTAAAAACATGACTTTCTACACACAAAGAAGCCTCAATCAGAGATAAACTCATGTAAAGTGAGTGGAGGCGAAGAGTGATTTGCTACAGTGCCGAAGGCTCAGTAGAGGGGCTAAGCAGTGTCTGTGTGTGTGTGTGTGTGTGTGTGTGTATTTGGGGCGGGTGCGTGCAGCATCTGGCCCAGAAAGCATAGAGCCAGCGGTAGAGGCTGGGGGTCAAATGTTAGGGGTTAAAGTGGAAGAGCACTCCACTGGTGAGCGGTGTGTGCATGCCAGACAGCAGTAAAGGAGGTAGGCAGCAGTAGAGACAGGGAGGGCAGGTGGTACATCACCATCACCATCACCATCACCATCTGGGGGCCGTAGCGTTGCTCACACTTACACTGGGGTGCAGAGGCTGCAGGCGGTCCGTCAGGGAGTCCAGGCCCGGGGAGTGGGAGTGGGGCTTGGGGGTGGCGGCCCCTGGCTCGTACATAGAGAAAGCCTGTCTGTCCCTCCGGTGGGCGGGCGCCGCCGAGGACATGGCTAGGCTGGAGTGGTCCCCTCCCCTACCTCCCCCGCCTCTCACCCCCCCTGGCCAATGTGCCGGGCTGCCTCCTCCCCCGCCTCCCAAACCGCCAGCTCCCCCTCCTCCTCCGACCTGGCCCCCCCGCAACGCACTGTTCTCCGTCTGCATCCGCGAGATCTACGGGGAGAGGTGGGGACGGGGGAGGGGAGGAGGGTCACCTGAATATGTCAAAGGTCACACGGAGAAGCATCCACATACACAGGTACTGTACAGGGAGCATCATTTAGCTAGCCACATACTAGGTACGGATGGAGGTAAGACTATAATGGGGATAAAGGGAGTCTATAGGCTATCTATAGGCTATACTGATGGGTGGATATTAGGGGTTAAACTGGCTAGTCGGTGGATCTAGTGGGTATAACTACATGCTGGGTTCTCTTAACCAAATAAACATACATATTGGCAGTACTAGGGGTTGATCTTTAGAATTTTGGAAAATAAGAGAACTACACATGCATGGTTTATTGAGGTGTACGGGGGGGGGGGGGGGGGTTGCTGCTCTAGCCCACACTGTGTTATTGTTTTACCTGTATGTACCTGTCAAACTATCAACACTGGAAGAGAACTACTGTGCATTTTCCAAGTGTGTGTGCAGGGGCTGACATTTGTGTGAGTCTAGGGGCTGGTATTTCTCCTTGTGTTAGACATGAGTGATGAGTGATGGGATCGACATGGGACAATAGCTCAGGCATTCATGAGAACAAAACAACACCACCACCATGGAGACGGAACCAAAACAAAGTGACAAAGTAACGAAACCTGATATTTGACACACTGAAGAACAAACTGCATTGCTTACACCAAAACTAACAGATACTGTTCTGAGCTGCACACTTAGCTTATTACAGTATAAGGACAGCTCTGGGCACAGAGTAGACCAACACTGATAGTGATAACACACTAATATACTGAGGCAGAAAGGATCCATCTTCCACTAACTTGCGGAAAAATATAATTAGAAAAGCACATCTTGGTGCATAATAACACATCAACATTTAGACATATTGAAATTCTTCCCGTCTTTCTACCATGCATGCTTCCCTCCATCCTGCCCTCCCTACTACTTGACCTAACTCTCTCCCTCTCTACTCCCTCCATCCATCCCTCTATCCATTCCTCCCGTCCATACCTCCATCTTTATCTCCTCTCCCTACCTCTTTCTGCAGCCGGTGCAGCTCTTCACTCAGGTTGTTGTTGATCTTCATCAGCTGCTGAACTTTAGCCTCGGAGGAAGCCAGGGCCTTCTTAACCTCCAGGTACTCCTGCAGCGTGATGGGCCCGTCCGACAGGTCCGACGAGTCCATGCTCTGAGGGGACAGACACAACATAGAAATATAATTAAAACGCTCAATCTAAAAACACACACACAAGCATTCTGGAGTCGTTTATGTGGGCTATTGTCTGAGCAATAAGCGGCACTCGATTTCATCATCACTCTTAGCAGTATATGGAGAAGTCTGAGCACAGCTTAAAATAACTATATTTTCACATTCAACACTCAAACCATATTTGAGAAATCTCTTCTCAACTGGAAATGACTATGAACAGCATCCACATCCATTCACAGCTCAGCCATATCGGAGAAGCACAGAGCTCCTGTCTGTATCACACCAGAACAGAGCTTCTTCACACAGTAGACCTTCAATTCTCATTTTACAGCAGCTTTTCCACCACACCCTGTGGCTGTGGGTGCCTGTTTTAACAGGGTTTCCACCCCCCTCTCCTCTCCCCTCCTCTCCCCCGCCCTCTCCCCCGCCCTCTCCCCGCCTCCCTCTCCTCCCCTGCTCGTAGAACAATGCTCCTCTGACTGGAGACCCAGAATAGCTGTGATGTCACTGTGGAAGTATGTGGCAGCAGTAGCAGCACTGCCTCTCCCGCAAGGCATGCTGGGACAGGCGGGGAGGAAGATACTGCTGGGGATAATACTGCAATCACTAGAAGAAGCTAAGAAGAACTATGTGCTGATTTAGGACCAATTTTGCCTTTTAGATCACAATGAATATGATTACATGGACAGTGGAGACCTGATCCTAGATCAGCACTTCTATTTTGAGACGCTTGATACGTATGGACCCTGATCTGAAGGGTCTCTAATAACTCAAAGCAGGACTGGGAGCACAGGACCCCTTCCTGGTCACTTTGCTCAACCCCTTCCCTCCTCCATTTATCTCAGTACACATTTTATCCATCTATATACTGGGTTTAAGGGGAATACTTTGGTATGTTGGCCTGTAGAGAAAAACATAGCACAATGGTTTGCAATGGAAAAAGAAAACAAGCGCTTCTTATTAGGCCAGTTCGAATAGTACCTCCCCCTTTCACTTTGTTTCAGGCTGCTTGGTGCCTAGTGAACACAACCCAGGGGGTGTATTCATTAGTGCAAACTGGTGCAAAACGTTTCCCATTGGACAAATTCAGGTAGGTCCCTCCTCGTTTGGCCCTGTTTTCTTCTGTTTGATGCCTAATGAACACAACCCTGCCATCCTTCTGTGCCCTTCACTCCTTACCTTGGCCCGGTTGTTGCGCTGTGTGTTGTTGTTGTTCTGAGTGTTCAGCTCACTGTCCGTGTCCTCATCCGACGCTACGCTGTCGTAGTCATGCTGGTCGTCGTCGGCCCCCAGGTCCAGACTAGAGTCTACAGGGATGGATCAGAGCAACAACATAGGCCCTGGCTCAATCTCAATTCATCTTTCCTCGATTCCTCACATACTCTCTCCTCGCTTCCTTCTCAAAATGCATTGGAGAAGAATGTCCTTGGGGAGGGAACTTTGACCTTTTCCTCGAATACGGTTGAGGAGGAGGCGAGGAGATAGGATGTGAGGAATCGTAGAAAGACGTATTGAGATTGAGACACAGAAAAATCAGGATAACTACAGCTCAACTCAACTAGTGATGACCTAACCATGACACAACCAGGCAACCCCAACCCCGCCATTTAAAATACATCTCAGTAACTTCTCCTTTTCACTCAAACATTGCAATGGATGGATTGACTGAAGTGCGTGCTAAAACAGCTTAATGTCCAGAGCACATTTAATTCATAAAGACCGCGTTTGAACTGGCTCAGTCCCTCTCCTCTCCCCTCTGCTCCCCTCCCCTTCACTCCTCCTTTCCTGTCCTCTCTCCTCCTTTCCTCGGTCCTCTCCTCCTCCACACCTCTCCCCTCCCTCACCAGTAGGGCTGCTCAGGCCTTTCCCCTGTTGCCTCCTCTTGGCGTCACTCAGGATGTCGATAATTAGCGTTGCGAACTCACGAGCGTTGAAACGGGCCAACTTCTGTCTACCCTGAAAGAGAAAAAGAGGCAGTTGAGTACTCAAAAACCCTCCGACGCATAGACATAGGTTTACAGGAGCAAAATGAGTTCAGACATTGTTGGTGTATTATTCAAGCAATTGGAGTCACAGTCTCTGGTACTGCAGTCCTGTGGTCACTGGTCATGTGGTGTGGTGTGGAAAAGCACAGTCACAGGGGCTACAGTTGATCATAGTAACAGAGTCACACACAAACACACTAAACATTGCACCTTGCAATTTGCATGTTTGTGTTTGCATAAGGGGACAAAAATACAGGCTTTGTATCCATGTGGTTTCAATTCTAAACACGGTCCAACCGTGAGCACACGGTCATCACAATCCATTTTCCTCAGCCTCTGTGTGTGCGCGTCTGTGTTTTCTCCCTCAGTCGCTCTTGCATGAAACAAACACACTACCACTGACCAGTCAGCTGTCTCCAACGCTATTCAATCCAATCCTAGCTGGGGATCTCACTGTGGTGAGGGTGCTGCTGTGTTAAGGCCCATGTTTACAGTAATGAGCTAGCCAACTGAGGGAGGACACACAATCATACACACACCGCCTTTCGTTTCCCCTCTCCTCCACAGCTGGAAAATCTCTCTCTCTCTCTCTCTCTCTCTGTCTCTGTCTCTTTATCTCTATAGCCAGGGCAGAAGCTCAGAAATCCCAGTGCAGCCACAAAACTATTCATAGAATGTGATCTTTCATCCCTCGCTCCCTCCCGCTCCATTTCAGCCCAGACTTTAATCTTTCTTCGTCTGCCCTTCTGTTCTCTTCTTTTGTTCCCTTTTTAAAATCTGTCGTGCTCTAGGAGGTTTTCCCGATAGTCCCTTCTACTGCCTGCCTGTGTCTCTGTGACTAGCATCACCTTCAGCCTGCTGTTATCACTAAGCCTACGCAGCAGTTGGAGAACGATAAATACGCATTGGAACTAAGATATTAGAGCATTTGCTGGCAGTCATCAAACATTACTTTGTTTGTTTTGTGTGTGTGTGTGATAGAAGTAGTGGTGGTTACCTGGTTGCGTGTGGCTGAGTATTCGGGGTTGACAGGCAGGAAGGGCACCGCGCTGCGCTCCGTCACCAGAGTACTGTGGTTCTGAGTCGTCAGCCACACTGGGAAAAGGGGAGGAAGGAGAGAGGAGGAGAGAAAGAGAGAGAGATATTATACATTGATGTGTGAGTGAGAGAGAAACAAGGTCATTTCAGCTGGAAGTTGGAACACACACAGCAACACACCCTGCCTGCCGCCCACACATACACACAGTACAACGCTCCACTGGAACAGACCACAGAACAGTTACAGACTTACACATTCTCTCCTCCTAGAATGTCCTGTTATACCTAGAGCTGTGTGTGTATGCATGTGTGTATGTGCTTGTGTGTGTGTCCAGCTCTCTGCCTCTACCCCATCCTGCTTACCTGCGGAGAGTCTCTGTCAGACAACGCAGTCTGCGACTGTTCCTGCTTCTGAGAGAGCGAGGGAGGAGAGTGAAAGAGAGAGACTCTTCCTCACCAACTCGCTCTCTCCTTCTCACTCGCTCCTTCTTCCCCACTCTGTCTCCTTCTCTAGTTTTAGACCTCACCCAGTGCCCTTTTACAGACTTTGTTTATGCGTTTCCTTTCTAAACAGTGACTCCTTCTCCCGGGAACAGCCAACTCTGGGGCTGTGTCCCACATGGCACCCTATTCCTTTTATAGTGCACTACTTTTGACCAGGGCTTGGTGGAAAGTAGTACACTATGTAGGGAATGGGATGCTATTTTGGACGCACCCCCAGAGTGGCCCAAACCGATTGCATGACTCAAAAAGGCAAAGACAGAACGAGGCGCAGGATGGAGAGATCTAGAGAGAGGTGGAGGAGAGGGAGAAGCAGGGGATGGGTTCCACAGGAGAGGAGAAGGAGTCTCACCTGCATCGTTCTCCCTGCGGTCCACTTCATCATACACGTCCATGGCCAGCTCCTCAAACAATCGATTGTTCAGCTGTCACACACACACACACACACACACACAGGAAATGTATGGGATGCCAAGACCAAGACAAACATAAGCAATGCATGCCAATGGAGCAAATACCAGCGAGGGAAAAATATATACACACACACACACACGGTTAGAATAATAGTCCAACCTGCAGGACAATCATGTACAGCAGTACTGTCAACACAAACAGTAGCACTACACTAAAGGGCTCAGTCCTTTTGCTGCCTGGGCCAAAGGAGAATTGATTATACCATACACAGGAAATGGAGAAAGTCATAGTCCTCTGTCATAGATAATTAGTGTCACTGATACAGACATGGCCCACTGCTTCAGTTTATTATCAGATCAGCTCGCGTTCTGGGTCGTGCTCATTAGGCACCAAATGGAAGAAAACAGACTGAAAAAGGGAGGGATACCTGCACAATAAGAAATGCTCTTTTTTTTTTTTATTGAAAACGTTTCACAATGTTTTGCCTTGTGTCCTAATGAACACAACCCAGGAAGTCCACCAGACAGATAAAGCCTTAACTCTAACCCAAGGCCCCTACCCTTTGACCACCCAGCACTACTCACCGCTTGCAGCTTCTTCTTAGCTGCCTTGGCCAGTTCTGAGAGGTCCAGGCTACGCAGAGACAGACAGACACAATGCCACAATGAAACAACCACAGACACGAACAGAGAGAGAGAGGGGTGAGGAGAGAAAGGTGGAGATGGAACGGTGGGAGGGGTGAGACAGGAGGTCGTCAGGTCATGGAGCGAGGGCCATGCCAGATAATCAGGTAAAATATATAGGTAACTGCCAAAATAATGGAAACAATTGAGTAAATGAGAGAAGTATATTGAAAGCAGGTGCTTCCATACAGATGTGGTTCCTGAGTTAATTAAGCAATTAACATTCCATCATGCTTAGGGTCATGTATAGAAATGCTGGGCAGGCCATTATTTTGGCTATGCCCTCATAGGATGACAATGTCCCCATCCACAGGGCACAAGTCGTCACTGAATGGTTTGATGAGCATGAGAACGCTGTTAATCATATGCCATGGCAGTCTGTCACCAGATCTCAACCCATTTGAACACTTATGGGAGATTCTGGAGCGGCGCCTGAGACAGCGTTTTTTTCCACCATCAACAGAAACCCCAACATTTGGGAAATTTCTTGAGGCAGAACGGTGTCGCATCCCTCCAATACAGTTCCAGACACTTGTAGAATCTATGCCAAGGGTAGGCAACCCTGTTCCTGGAGTACCGCAGGTACTGCTGGAGTTTCTTCCAACTAGGCACCACACCTAACCAACTAAGCTAATTGATCAGTTCAGTGATTGCCTAAATTCAACACACCTGATCTTCCAGGTCGGTGAAATGAAAAACAGGACTAGAGTTGTCTACCCCTGAACTATGCCAAGGTGTATTGAAGCTGTTCTGGCTCATGGTGGCCCAACGCCCTATTAAGACACTTTATGTTGGTGTTTCCTTTATTTTGGCAGTTACCTGTAGCTCCTTCAATTTCAGTTTGACAACATTCAAAACGATAGGCATAAGTACTTGTATTATCTAAAATGAGTCCTGGTGGTCTAGATACAGTAGCCAACCTGATAATGGGATAAAATACCAGCCTCCTATTTAAAAGCAAAGGGCTCTCATCACTGTTTATTGAATCAAGACATCCTAAAAGTAATACTACTATATAAAAAGGTAGACAGAATATTACAGGAATCCCTCCCTCCTTCCCTAACACCAGCGAGAAGATGATGAGCACATGGGATAAAAGAGGAAAAAAGGGGGGATGTTGAAGGAGTGAGAGCGAAAGAGAAAAGAGAGATACCTCTGTGTCGGGCACTTAGGGCGAGCTCTGCCTCCACAAGCGCAGCAAAGATGGAGAGAACAGAAAACGAGTGAGCGAGACAAGAAAGAGACAGGTAGAAAGCAATAGAGAGAGAGAGAGAGGGAGGGAGGGGGATAAACCCCATAAACACCAGGGCCCATATTCACAAAGTGTCTCAGAGTAGGAGTGCTGATGTAGGATCAGGTCCGCCTCAGTCTATATAATCGTCTGAATTATTATCTAAGGTAAAACTGATCCTAGATCAGCTACTCAGACACTTTGTGAATACCGCCACTAGTTCTCCACTGCTCACAAGAGTAGACTCCCAGAGTATGGTACAGTATAGTACAGAGTATAGTACAGTACAGTAAGAACAGTGTGGTAGAAGTCTGTTGTAGCTCAGCAGACAGACATGCAGTCAGCATCATTAGTGTGCCAGGGGCTTTCGCTCCTCTCTCTAGCAGTACAGACTGACTAACGGCAGGGCACAACCTACTGGTCAAAACACTGCATTACACCTAGCCACTTCAATTGTCCCAGAATATTACATGGTATTCATAACATTTCATTGTAGATTCCAGACAATCAAAGGCATTGTCAGAATATCATGTCACGTGAAAGACAAAAATACATTATTGGGTGGTTTTACAGACATAGATTAAGCCTAATACTGGACTAAAAAGCATGCTCAATAGAGAATCTCATTTGAAAACACTTTTTAGTCCAGGATTAGCCTTAATCTGTGTCTGAAAAACCACCCCTATGTATAATAAATATCAACCACCATGCAGATTTATAAATATACTCCCCACACCCTCCCACCCAATGTTGACCCTGAACACATGACCCTTCGACACTTACCTGTCAGCCATCTGAGGAATTATATAATGCCCATTCTTGTGATCTGCAGGATAGAGTAAAATGGAGTGAAGTCATTGTATTGTGTAAAACATTCATTGGGTGAAAGACGCCTTAATAGTTAGGCCTAACAGTGGGTCCATACTTGGAGCGGTAATCAGCGACCTAGCAACCACCAACCAGTCATGTTCAATGGAAGGAGGAGACACAAAGAGAAACACAGCGACTTAGCGGTCGGCGATGAGAACTAGTGAATAGAATTGAAAATGTCCCAATATTATGCAAATGTAGGGAGAGGGCAGGCAGCTCTTGTTAGCCAGCTCTGACATTGGCCAACAACAAAACTGCCGTCATGATAGCTGTTTGAAGGATACACCCACCGAGCGAGATCTCAACGACTTGATTGCTGATTATCGCTTCAACTCTGAGCCCTCTGTAAGGTCCTTGGCAGGGGTAAAAGGTCACCTACCAGGGCGTCGGCCACACAGGTAGAAGGCCAGCCTGTCTGTGAGCTCGTACTGACACTCCACCAGCCGCTCTGCCAGCTCCACCTGGCCCGCTTGCCTGCCACAAACACAACGATCAGATCCTATAACTGTATATACAGTTGAAGTCGGAAGTTTACGTACACCTTAGCCAAATACATTTAAACTCAGTTTTTCACAATTCCTGACATTTAATCCTAGTAAAAATGCCCTGTCGTCTTAGGTCAGTTAGGATCACCACTTTATTTTAAGAATGTGAAATGTCAGAATAATAGTAGAGAGAATTATTTATTTCAGCTTTTTTTTCTTTCATCACATTTCCAGTGGGTCAGAAGTTTACATACACTCAATTAGTATTTGGTATCATTGCCTTTAAATTGTTTAACTTGGGTCAAACGTTTCGGGTAGTCTTCCACAAGCTTCCCACAATAGGTTGGGTGAATTTTGGCCCATTCCTCCTGACAGAGCTGGTGTAACTGAGTCAGGTTTGTAGGCCTCCTTGCACGCACACGCCTTTTCAGTTCTGCCCACACATTTTCTATACGATTGAGGTCAGGGCTTTGCGATGGCCACTCCAATACCTTGCCTTTGTTGTCCTTAAGCCATTTTGCCACAACATTGGAAGTATGCTTGGGGTCATTGTCCATTTGGAAGACTCATTTGCGACCAAGCTTTAACTTCCTGACTGATGTCTTGAGATGTTGCTTCAATATATCCACATAATTTTCCTTCCTCATGATGCCATCTATTTTGTGAAGTGCACCAGTCCCTCCTGCAGCAAAGCACCCCCACAGCATGATGCTGCCACCCCCGTGCTTCACGATTGGGATGGTGTTCTTCGGCTTGCAAGCCAGAGATTGGGATGGTGTTCTTCGGCTTGCAAGCATTTCTCCAAAAAGTACGATCTTTGTCCCCATCTGCAGCTGCAAACCGTAGTCTGGCTTTTTTATGGCGGTTTTGGAGCAGTGGCTTCTTCCTTGTTGAGCGGCCTTTCAGGTTATGTCGATATAGGACTCGTTTTACTGTGGATATAGATACCTTTGTACCTGTTTCCTCCAGCATCTTCACAAGGTCCTTTGCTGTTGTTCTGGGATTGATTTGCACTTTTCGCACCAAAGTACGTTTATCTCTAGGAGACGGAACGTGTCTCCATCCTGAGCGGTATGACGGCTGCGTGGTCCCATGGTGTTTATACTTGCGTACTATTGTTTGTACAGATGAACGTGGTACCTTCAGGCGTTTGGAAATTGCTCCCAAGGATGAACCAGAACTTGGCTGATTTCTTTTGATTTTCCCATGATGTCATGCAAAGAGGCACTGAGTTTGAAGGTAGGCCTTGAAATACATCCACAGGTACATCTCCAATTGACTCAAATGATGTCAGAAGCTTCTAAAGCCATGACATCATTTTCTGGAATTTTCCAAGCTGTTTAAAGGCACAGTCAATTTAGTGTATGTAAATTATAAGTGAATTATAAGTGAAATAATCTGTCTGGAAACAATTGTTGGAAAAATTACTTGTGTCATGCACAAAGTAGATGTCCTAACCGACTTGCCAAAACTATAGTTTGTTAACAAGAAATGTGTGGAGTGGTTGAAAAACAAGTTTTAATGACTCCAACCTAAGTGTATGTAAACTTCCGACTTCAACTGTATGACACAGCTTGCTGACACAATACAGCAGCAACAAAAAAACACACTGACTACCTTATGACAGTCACACACAAAACTGTGTGTGTATGTATACTATGTTCAAAAAGAGTGAACCAGGGGTGTATTCACAAGTAACAAAAACAAACATGGCCAAACGGGAAGGGACTACCTGAACTTGTCCAATAAGAAACCCTTGTTTTCCTTGCAAAACATTTTACGTTGCAAAACGTTTCGCAACAGTGTACACTAATGAATAGACCTCTGTTGTAGCCTACCTGGCATAGTCCATGGGTGTGCGTCCATTGATGTCCGGGGCTCCGGGGTCAGCTCCGTACACAACCAGCAGCTCTGCCTGCAGAACCTGGCCTGCCTTGGCTGCCACATGGAGTGGAGTGGTGCCCTTCTCCTGAGAGGACAACCACACACACACACACACAGAGACACACAGTCACATGCACGCACACAGACACACACACATCATTACTTCAAATAGGGAATTATGGGAGCACGGACACAGCATAGACCGATTGGACCGATGCTCTATAGCGGGGTTGTGAGTGTATGTGGTGAGAAAGTGGGTAATTTGCAGTAACAGGGGGTGGGAGGGTGGGTGTGGTATAAGTCTCACCGGGTGGAAGAAGTTGGCCTGTGCTCCCAGGGACAGCAGCCGTAGACATGTCTCCAGACTCCCTGTCCTCACACTGGAGTGCAGTTGCTGAGAGAGAGGGGGAGAGCGAGAGAGAGAGACCCTGTGAATCCCCTCATTAGTGGTGTTTAATAGATCCACACAGTGGCTTCCATTAGTTATTCCTGTGGTGTCATTAAGGTGCTTCCTTCCTGCCTACAGGGGAGAGAAGAAGAAAGGCAGGCTCTCTGTGTGTGTGTGTGTGTGTGTGTGTGTGTGTGTGTGCGTGTGTGTAGAGCCTCAGTGGGAGGCAGCCCGGCCCACCAGCCATGGCCATGAGTGGACGAGCCCAGCCTGTGAAGGACGTCACCCTCTGAACCCTGACCTGAGGGGGTGGGGCCTCACCTTACTGAGGTCCTTGGTGGTAACACCGTCGTCATCGCGGCACGGCAGCTTGTGGACGAAGGATAGCATCTGGTACTTGGCGCGGATGAACTCGGACTTGGTGGGGCTGTGCAAACGCGCACACAAACAGAGAGAGGAGAGGGTTGGGACAAACTGGGTAAGACATCAACTGTATGTATGAATCATTGCTGCAGGAGACGCCGAGGGGTAAATCCTCTCTGATCCCATAACAGTCTGATACTAGCTAATGACCCAAGGCTGAGCTGCATCTAACACATAAGCTTATTAGCCTGATCGGACTATAACAATTGACAGAGTGAAAATACATCTCTTGAGATCTTGGTGGGGGAGAGTGAGTTCCACAAACAGACACTATAGGTAAGCGGGGAATGTTTTCACCCAGGTCATCATTGTAAATGAGAATTGGTTCTCATCTGACGTATCGTGAAATATGTTGTGAAACGTGAAATAAATAAAAAAAACTTACTGGACTTTGTCCTGTGGGTTGGGTTTCCTGCGGCCGCTCTGCACCTGCGCTGGGTCAAGCAGGGAGTGCTCCCAAATCGAGTTAGCCCCATTACTGGCCAGGGTCTGCACCATCTAAAACACACACACACACACACACACACACAGACAAAGACACACACACACACACACACACACTGGTGAGACACACGACAACACAGCCCTAACATGAAATGATCTAATGTTTGCTTGGAACGTCCTCTTAGAGCTAATCAAAGCCTCTTCCTGTGCCTGAGGCTGGTCTAGTGGGTAACGCCACCGCCTGCAACACTATACAGTGGTCTAAGGCACTGCATCTCAGCGCTTGAGGCGTCACTACAGACCCCCTGGTTCGATTCCAGGCTGTATCACAACCGGCCGTGATTGGGAGTCCCATAGGGCGGCGCACAATTGGCCCAGCGTCGTCCGGGTTTGGCCGGTGTAGGCCGTCATTGTAAATAATAATTTGTTCTTAACTGACTTGCCTAGTTAAATAAAGGTAAAATAAAATTAAAAATACACCACCAAGCGTGGGTGCGAATCCCGACCCCAGCGCCACTCTCTGCATCTCCCTCCCCACTCATTTCCTTCCTGTCTGAATAAAGTGAAAATACAAAAAAGAAAATTTAAAAAAAGCCAGTTCCTAACAAAAGTATTCTCAAATCTTATATGACCAGCAGCCAGGTAACACTTACTTTATATTAGTGATGGGGGGAAAAAATTGATAGTTACATATCGCAATATTATTTTGGACGATAAATGTAGACCACACTATTTACCAAGAGAGTTTTCATCTATATTTTTCATAGCTGTCTATTTACCACCACAAACCAATGCTGGCATTAAGATTGCACTGAATGAGTTGTACAAGGCCATTAATCAACAGGAAAACGCTCATCCAGATGCAGTGCTCCTAGTAGCCGGGGACTTTAATGCAGGGAAACTTAAATCCGTTCTACCTAATTTCTACCAGCATGTTAAATGTGCAACCAGAGGGAAAAAAACTCTAGACCACCTTTACTCCACACACAGAGACGCATACAAAGCTCTCCCTCGCCCTCCATTGGCAAATCTGACCATAACTCTATCCTCCTGATTCCTGCTTATAAGCAAAAACTGAAGCAGGAAGCACCAGTGATTCGGTTAATAAAAAAGTGGTCAGATGACGCAGATGCTAAGCTACAGGACTGTTTTGCTAGCACAGACTGGAACATGTTCCGGGATTCTTCAGACAGCATTGAGGAGTACACCACATCAGTCACTGGCTTCATCAATAAGTGCATCGATGATGTCGTCCCCACAGTGACCGTACGTACATACCCCAACCAGAAGCCATGGATTACAGGAAACATCCGCACTGAGCTAAAGGGTAGAGCTGCCGCTTTCAAGGAACGGGACTCTAACCCGGACGCTTATAAGAAATCCCGCTATGACCTCCGACGAACCATCAAACAGGCAAAGAGTCAATACAGGTCTAAGATTGAATCATACTACACTGGCTCTGACGCTCGTCGGATGTGGCAGGGCTTGAAAACTATTACAGACTACAAAGGGAAGCACAGCCGCGAGCTGCCCAGTGACACAAGCCTACCAGACGAGCTAAACCACTTCTATGCTCGCTTCGAGGCAAGCAACACTGAAGCATGCATGAGAGCACCAGCTGTTCCGGACGACTATGTGATCACGCTCTCCGTAGCCGATGTGAGTAAGACTTTTAAGCAGGTCAACATTCACAAGGCCGCAGGGCCAGACGGATTACCAGGACGTGTACTCCGAGCATGTGCTGACCAACTGGCAAGTGTCTTCACTGACATTTTCAACATGTCCCTGACTGAGTCTGTAATACCAACATGTTTCAAGCAGACCACCATAGTCCCCGTGCCCAATAACTCTAAGATAACCTGCCTAAATGACTACCGACCCGTAGCACTGACGTCTGTAGCCATGAAGTGCTTTGAAAGACTGGTCATGGCTCACATCAACAGCATAATCCCAGAAACCCTAGACCCACTCCAATTTGCATACCGCCCCAACAGATCCACAGATGATGCAATCTCTATCGCACTCCACACTGCCCTTTCCCACCTGGACAAGAGGAACACCTACGTGAGAATGCTATTCATTGACTACAGCTCAGCATTCAACACCATAGTGCCCTCTAAGCTCATCACTAAGCTAAGGATCCTGGGACTAAACACCTCCCTCTGCAACTGGATCCTGGACTTCCTGACGGGCCGCCCCCAGGTGGTAAGGGTAGGTAACAACACATCTGCCACACTGATCCTCAACTCAGTCCCCTCCTGTACTCTCTGTTCACCCATGACTGCATGGCCAGGCACGACTCCAACACCATCATTAAGTTTGCCGACGACACAACAGTGGTAGGCCTGATCACCGACAACGATGAGACAGCCTATAGGGAGGAGGTCAGAGATCTGGCCGTGTGGTGCCAGGACAACAACCTCTCCCTCAACGTGACCAAGACAAAGGAGATGATTGTGGACTACAGGAAAAAAAAGAGGACTGAGCACGCCCCCATTCTCATCGACGGGGCTGTAGTGGAACAGGTTGAGAGCTTCAAGTTCCTTGGTGTCCACATCACCAACGAACTATCATGGTCCAAACACACCAAGACAGTCGTGAAGAGGGCACGACAAAGCCTATTCCCCCTCAGGAGACTAAAAAGATTTGGCATGGGTCCTCAGATCCTCAAAAAATTCTACAGCTGCACCATCGAGAGCATCCTGACTGGTTGCATCACCGCCTGGTATGGCAACTGCTTGGCCTCTGACCGCAAGGCACTACAGAGGGTAGTGCGTACGGCCCAGTACATCACTGGGGCAAAGCTCCCTGCCATCCAGGACCTCTATACCAGGCGGTGTCAGAGGAAGGCCCTCAAAATTGTCAAAGACTCCAGCCACCCTAGTCATAGACTGTTCTCTCTGCTACCGCACGGCAAGCGGTACCGGAGTGCCAAGTCTAGGTCCAAAAGACTTCTCAACAGCTTCTACCCCCAAGCCATAAGACTCCTGAACAGCTAATCATGGCTACCCGGACTATTTGCACTGCCCCCCCACCCCATCCTTTTTACGCTGCTGCTACTCTGTTAAGTATTTATGCATAGCCACTTTAACTCTACCCACATGTACATATTACCTCAACTACCTCAACTAGCCGGTGCCCCCGCACATTGACTCTGCAACGGTACCCCCCTGTATATATAGCCTCCCTACTGTCACTTTATTTTACTGTATATATAGCCTCCCTACTGTCACTTTATTTTACTTCTGCTCTTTTTTTCTCAACACTTTTTTTGTTGTTGTTTTATTCTTACTTTTTTTGTTTAAAATAAATGCACTGTTGGTTAAGGGCTGTAAGTAAGCATTTCACTGTAATGTCTGCACCTGTTGTATTCGGCGCATGTGACCAATAAAATTTGATTTGATTTGATTTAATTGTTTTTCTAGGTAGCGTTAGCTAGCGCTAGTCAGCTGTGCCTGTGCTATAGCTTGTTCATCTTCTTTTTAAATAGTGAGCCAACATGTTTTCAGCACTTTTATTTCCATGTTCGCTCGTCTCTCTGCAGCAGACATATAGTGAGCAATATGTTTGGAACATTCAATTCGCAATAAAATCGTATTATCGAATCGCAATACATATAGAATCGTGAAATCGCAATACATATCATATTGGCAATTCCCAGCCCTAATTTATATGTAGTTTATAAACTGTTAATTATTAGTTTATGGATATACATGTTATAAATCTGTAATAAACAGGTATAGGTCTAATAGATTGGTTGACGTGGGTTACTTGTCATTTAGCCGCTTGCCAAATACTGGGCTACTAGGCTACTTCTACACCCATCAGTAATGATCCCCAGTGCCCACTCCCCCTCCAGCCCAGCCCCCATCTTGTCCCCCCCCCCAGGTACCTGCAGCAGTGCAGGGGGCCAGCCGCTGTGCCGCAGGTGCTTGACGATGGAGATGTGGCGTCCCAGGCTGCGGTGCACCGAGCAGCACTCGTCACAGATCAGAACGCCCCTGTTGATGCTGGTCCAGCCCGGATCTGAAAACACAGAGAAAGAGAGAAAGATAAAGTGAGAGAGAGGAGGGAGAGGGGGAGGGTCAGGTGTGTACAACTTAGGCTATTTAGCAAAAACCCACCTCTGACAACTGGCTACTAGGCCTAGCTCATCTCAGGTTCATCATTAGGCCTATAGCTTTGTTTTACCGGTAATAAAGTTAGGCCTAATATTTGACATTATTATTTACTGCACACATTTAAAATAATCAAATAGCCTACTGTGAGAGTGAGGAATAGGCTGACAGTTTGTCTGACGTGAAGTTTCAATGACACTCTAAAAAGGAGTTCTCGGGACCATGAAATCAACAAAACGCAAAGAAACGCCTTTATTATTAGCGTCATACTGTATAGCCTAAATACAAGTCTGACCTTTAAAATTCCAGTACCACCCAATTGTGCCTTTAGGTGGTAATGAGATCATCATACTACACAAGTCCAGAGTTCAGTGGGCACAAAGAGAACCATTGGCCACACAGTCTAGTCATTCAATTCCTTCCATATCCTTGTCTGTACATAATGCCCTGAATCTTTTCTACAACGCCCGGAAATCTGCCCCCTTTATTCTCTGTACCCAACGCACTAGAAGACCAGTTCTTAAAGCCTTTAGCCGTATCCTTATTCTAGTCCTCCTCTGTTCCTCTGGTGATGTAGAGGCTAACCCAGGCCCTGCAGCCCCCAGTATCACTCCTACTCTCCAGGAGCTATCATTTGTTGACTTCTGTAACCGTAAAAGCCTTGGTTTTCTGCACGTTAACATCAGAAGCCTCCTTCCTAAGTTTGAGTTATTCACTGCGTTAGCACACTCCGCCAACCCTGATGTTCTAGCAGTGTCTGAATCCTGGCTTAGGAAAGCCACCAAAAATTCTGAAATGTCCATCCCCAACTACAACATTTTCCATCTAGATAGAACTGCCAAAGGGGGTGGAGTTGCAATCTACTGTAGAGAGAGCCTGCAGAGCTCTATCATACTATCCAGGTCTGTGCCCAAACAGTTTGAGCTTCTACTTCTAAAAATCCACCTTTCCAGAAATAAGTCTCTCACTGTTGCCGCTTGCTACAGACCCCCCTCAGCCCCCAGCTGTGCCCTGGACACCATATGTGAATTTATTGCCCCCCATTTATTCTCAGAGTTCGTACTGCTTGGTGACCTAAATGGGGATATGCTTAACACCCCGGCCATCCTACAATCCAAACTAGATGCCCTCAATCTCACACAAATTATCAATGAACCTACCAGGTACAACCCTAAATCCGTAAACATGGGTACCCTCATAGATATCATCCTGACTAACTTACCCTCTAAATACACCTCTGCTGTCTTCAACCAGGATCTCAGCGATCACTGCCTTATTGCCTGCGTCCGTAACGGGTCCGCGGTCAAACGACCACCCCTCATCACTGTCAAACGCTCCCTAAAACACTTTAGCGAGCAGGCCTTTCTAATTGACCTGGCCCAGGTATCCTGGAAGGATATAGATCTCATTCCGTCAGTAGAGGATGCCTGGTTGTTCTTTAAAAGTAATTTCCTCTCAATCTTAAATAAACATGCCCCATTCAAAAAAGACAGAACTAAGAACAGATATAGCCCCTGGTTCTCCTCAGACTTGACTGCCCTTGACCAGCACAAAAACATCCTGTGGCGTACTGCATTAGCATCAAATAGCCCCCGCGATATGCAACTTTTCAGGGAAGTTAGGAACCAATATACACAAGCAGTTAGGAAAGCAAAGGCTAACTTTTTCAAACAGAAATTTGCATTCTGTAGCACTTACTCCAAAAGGTTTTGGGACACTGTAAAGTCCATGGAGAATAAGAGCACCTCCTCCCAGCTGCCCACTGCACTGAGGCTAGGAAACACTATCACCACCGATAAATCTACAATAATCGAGAATTTCAACAAGCATTTTGCTACGGCTGGCCATGCTTTCCACCTGGCTACCACTACCCCGGCCACCAGCTCTGCATCCTCCGCTGCAACTTGCCCATGCCCCCCCCTGCTTCTCCTTCACACAAATTCAGACAGCTGATGTTCTGAAAGAGCTGCAAAATCTGGACCCCTACAAATCATCTGGGCTAGACAATCTGGACCCTTTCTTTCTAAAACTAGCCGCCGAAATTGTCGCAACCCCTATTACTAGCCTGTTCAACCTCTCTTTCGTAACGTCTGAGATCCCCAGAGATTGGAAAGCTGCCGCGGTCATCCCCCTCTTCAAAGGGGGTGACACTCTAGATCCAAACTGTTACAGACCTATATCCATCCTGCCCTGCCTTTCGAACGTTTTTGAAAGCCAAGTTAACAAACAGATCACCGACCATTTCGAATCCCACTGTACCTTCTCCGCTATGCAATCCGGTTTCCGAACTAGTCATGGGTGCACCTCAGCCACGTTCAAGGTCCTAAACGATATTATAACCGTGATCGATAATAAACAGTACTGTACAGCCGTCTTCATCGACCTGGCCAAGACTCTGTCAACCACCGCATTCTTATTGGCAGACTAAATAGCCTTGGTTTCTCAAATGACTGCCTCGCCTGGTTCACCAACTACTTCTCAGATAGAGTTCAATGTGTCAAATCGGGGTGCCTGTTGTCTGGACCTATGAAAGTCTCTATGGGGGTGCCACAGGGTTCCATTCTTGGGCCGACTATTTTCTTAGTGTATATCAATGATGTCGCTCTTGCTGCTGGTGACTCTCAGATCCACCTCTACGCAGACGACACCATTTTGTATACATCTGGCCCTTCATTGGACACTGTGTTAACAAACCTCCAAATGAGCTTCAATACCATACAACACTCCTTCAGTAGCCTCCAACTGCTCTTAAACACTAGTAAAACTAAATGCATACTCTTCAATCGAACGCTGCTGGCACCCGCCCACCCAACTAGAATCACTACTCTCGACGGGTCTGACCTAGAGTATGTGGACAACTACAAATACCTAGGTGTCTGGTTAGACTGTAAACTCTCCTTCCAGCCTCACATTAAGAATCTCCAATCCAAAGTTAAATCTAGAATCGGCTTCCTATTTCGCAACAAAGCCTCCTTCACTCATGCTGCCAAACATGCCCTCGTAAAACTGACTATCCTACCGATCCTTGACTTCGGCGATGTCATTTACAAAATAGCCTCCAACACTCTACTCAGCAAATTGGATGTAGTCTATCACACCAAATCCCCATATACTACCCACCACTGTGACCTGTACGCTCTTGTTGGCTGGTCCTCACAACATGTTCATCGCCAAACCCACTGGCTCCAGGCCATCTATAAAATCACTGCTAGGCAAATCCCTGCTAGGCAAATCCCTGCCTTATCTTAGCTCATTGGTCACCATAGCAACACCCACCCGTAGTATGCGCTCCAGCAGGTATATCTCACTGGTCATCCCCAAAGCCAACACCTCCTTTGGCCGCCATTCCTTCCAGTTCTCTGCTGCCAATGACTGGAACTAATTGCAAAAATCTCTGAAGCTGGAGACTCTTATCTCCCTCACTAACTTTAAGCATCAGTTGCACCTGTACACAGCCCATCTGAAATTAGCCCACCCAACTACCTCATCCCCATATTGTTATTTATTTTGCTCATTGCACCCCAGTATCTCTATTTGCACATCATCTCTTGCACATCTATCATTCCAGTGTTAATAGTAATTGTAATTATTTTGCACTATAGCCTATTTATTGCCTTACCTCCATAACTTGCTACATTTGCACACACTGTTTATATATTTTCTGTTGTATTTTTGACTTTATGTTTTGTTTTACCCCATATGTAACTCTGTGTTGTTGTTTTTAATCGCACTACTTTGCTTTATCTTGGCCAGGTCGCAGTTGTAAATGAGAACTTGTTCTCAACTGGCTTACCTGGTTAAATAATGGTGAAATAAAAATAAATATTAAAAAAATATGGCTGGGGCAAGGTTAGCCTACACCCTCAGGATCCTGCTACAATTAGGCTAAGCTAACGTGCAAATGTCAGAGGAACTAGATGGAGCATTCGTTTTTTTCTTCAATTGGTAGGCCTAAGAGCCAAGCCTAAGAGATTGGGCTGGTGCAGAATAAATACATGCAGAGAGAGATCTGTTCTTGAGGGACAATTTTGAAACAAATAGCTATTGGCAATACTCAACAAAGCATGCCTATGGTTTTCAAATATTGTAATCTATGAAAAGCAGCAATTAATTGTTGGGTTTGTACCCATGGCTGAGCAGAACAAAGCAGAGCGCTAAACCAAATGTTAAGAGTGGGAAGCAGGTCCTCTTCCTTGATATAGGTTCAATTTATTGACACTAAAAGTTAAATCTCGTCATAATTCATGCTTCACAGAACAGCCCCATTGCTCTTCCTCACCATTTCCACACTTACTTCCACTTAGTGTGTGCAGTGCCTAATGTGATTTCATACGCATGTACTCACACAGACAGGCAGACACAGCGCATATGGGGCCACTCTCTTTTACCACTATATCTACAGCCAACACTACTGAAGGCTATAGCCCTCTCTTCAGTCTAGCATTCTACCACATGCTGTGGTGCCCATCACAACCCATAAAACTCAAATCATATTATAACAGAAAAACAAAAAGGCCTTATGAGCATACTGGCAGTAACAAATAGCCTATAGTGGCTATATGACTTCTACCACAATATGGAGGTTGTTTATGAGTTCAGTAGCTATTCCAGTGTGGAGGGTTGCAAGGAGTCACACACTAGTGGTGTGGTCAGCAGCTTGCTAGAGCTGCCACTGCCCAGAAGGGGAGGGGCCGCCGGGGCTGCAGAAAGCTGATGGTAGACTAAGTAATAAAGTGCACAGTGCACACACAGAGTAGGTGTACAGGCAGGCCAGGCTAACGCAGGTAACTGCAGAGGAGTGATGGTCAGGAGTGTCATAAATCAGCTGGGATAGTGCAGAAGAGGCTCACAGAGCAGAAACACATTCCTGAAGGGAGAGCAGCTGTGAGGGAGAGAGCAGCTGCCATGCACACCATCCCAACCAACCCCCATTCCAAACTCTCCTCCTCCCCAAAACATTGGGGCAGGTGGGGCTAAATGTGCAAGGCCAAGGCTATGCCGGCAGGGAGGGCCAGGATGCCATCACATCAGTTGTGTGGGCACAATAATGTTTCAGACAAACACAAGAGTTGGAGAATGTAGTCTTCATGATTTGCAAGTCAATTTCGGATTTTATGAGCAACTCATACTAAAACAATGCCATGAAGGATCAAGCTAAAAGTGTTTGGTTTTGCCTACAGATGGAGCAGTCTAAACAGGTCAGGGGTCCAGATTACAGGCACTCACTCAATCACTATTCACAACCTCTGCTAGTGCTAATATCAACGCCCCTACTCTGCGCCGCACTGTTTGCTAACCCATTGGCTTTGGGTAGTTGCAGGCAGCTAGCTAGTTAACTAACGTTAGCTAGCCAACTAGCTTAAACTACTATTTTATGATAATGTAACTAGCTAGCTAGCTAACTCAGTAACAACGTTCAGCTAATGTTCTTGTCTCTGAACATTAGCACACTAGTTAACTATCTACACATATTACAACATGGAATTCGTCACATTTATAAAAGTATTCTGGAGGAAGACAAGCCAAACTAGCTAGATGTAGCTAGCTAATTAGCCTGGCGTCTTCAAATTGAACTAGCTAACTTACCTAGCCAGTTAGCCCGTGTGGCCAGCTCAGTTCTAGCTACAGAGACAACTTTACAGGCAAAAAGCTGTGATAGCAAGCTATTCAAGTTAGACAAGACAGACACCCTTTCTCATTTGTTAGCATGCTAGGTAGGTAGGTAGTTAGCTACCAGCTAGATGTGGCAGTTAACACAACCAGTAACGTTAGCTAGCTAGCTATCAAGATAAATAAAAACAAACGTCTAACGTTGCTTGCTTGGCTAGCTGCGCTGGCTAGCGAGCTAGTCAAGCAGGCGAAACAAATCTGCCACACTCAAATTCATCCACAGAATATGATTCTTATCAAATAAACCAAAGTAACTTTATAGTCACTTCATTTATCCACACGCACTGAAAATGCAAATTTCACTCTGTTTAAAGGCCTGACTAACTAACTGCCTGGGAACCTGCGCCGTTTTATTGTACTGACAGCAGGCACAGGCCTCCGCCGTCCCACCTCAATGTCGCCAGCTAGCCCATCTCAAAGACTAAAACAACGCATTGTTTCAGTTTTCATCGTACCTGGTGCACTGCAGTCGGCGCATACTTCGGTTCTGTGGACCTTTCTTGACATGTTTAGGGTTCCACTACAGCAGTGGTTGTCTATCCAAATTATATATAATGGATGCTCGCCCTTCCGAAGACCGTCTGCTGTTTCTCAATGCTGCCCTGAATCCCCGGAAGCCGGCGATGTGTTATTCGGCTCTCCCGGCCCGAAACTACCCCTTTTCCTTTTCTTCCTACCTGGTTTCAGTCCTAAACTCCGGATGCAGTGAGTCGCAGACCTCGTCAGTGGAATGATTATCACTGGCTAGCTCATATCTAGAGGGATATAAAACAATAGCGCAGACTGCATTGCCAATATCGAGACCCAAGTAGGCTAACTGCGCTCCTTCCTACCTGTCACTCGAATGCTCTCTCCCCCCTTCGCTCTGATCGCCACTCGCTCTCACCAATGCCCATGGGAATAGAGGTAGCTCTAAAATCATATCGTATTCGTCAAAGCTACACCTCTCTTATTCTAAATGTTCATATATTTAGCTAGGTCTCTGGATATTATTTATTTGATTATGTTTTGTAAAGCTTTATAATGGCTTAGGCTAGCCTATATCACAGACGAGGCTGTCGAAGGAAAATAGTGGTGGCTGGAAATGCAATTCTGATGTTTTTGACATTGACTAATCTGTAATAACATGGGGATAAAAGCAGGCTTACAAATAGCCAAAATTAATGTTCAGAGAGTTTCATGTTGCAAAAACATTGCCGTGCTATAGCCAAGGCATTGAGCCAATAGACAGCATCAAAGGTGTAGGCCTTAGGCTATTTGGATGTGATTATGGTATAGGCTAAACTATATAGGCTGATTCTTTCATTTATTCATATGAAGTGAAAAGTGATTTACTAACTCCTAATGACAGGTAGGTGGCGTATGTAGCCACTCTACGCGCGTGCGTCTTATACATCACTATCATCAGCATCCCTTATATTTGATTGGCTGCTTACATTTTATTGCGGGCTGTCATCACTATCTCGCAACAGTGCAGAGTGCATCTCACAGTCACCATTCGCTGTGATGGGAGGGAGCGGAGAATAGATGGGCGGCTGCCTCGCTAGTTTATTCAAGGAGGAAGAGAAAGGTATGAGAGGGGCAGGGCATGGAGAACAGAGGTAGGTTAGATTAAATACAAGTAAGGGATCTATTGCAGATTCTTCTTAGATCTAGGGCTGTTTATTTACTAGTCTTTATCATAACCAACGGACTATTCATACTTTCATATTATAATGCGGAAGGCATGTCTTGTAAAGTGACATGTCACGACAGAGCGAGAATATGAGCAAATAGTCAGTCAGTAGCGAAGTATTTAGTGATAGGCGTATATGGAACAAAAAAACAGAGGGGAGAAGGCGAACTATGAACCGAAGATGATTTCTGCTAAGAAAACTCCGGAAAAGAGTCGTTATCCTATTCACTGTATGGTGTGGCACAACAAACATCGGCAGCTGGAGAAAGCGCTATCCGTGAACGAGCAGGTGAGGAGTCTTCGGGCGACACGTCCTAGTCTATCTGATCAAAAAAAGCGTGGGCCGTGCCAATACCATTTGGATAGGTTTAGGTTAAGTGTGCCATCTAGTGTGACCACAGTTCACAAACCGTGGGCTCGTTGAATGAATTGAACAGTAGGAGGTGGCGGAAGTTACATATGTTTCAATGAGTTTACCTCGAGATTGCAAATTAGCCGATGCCATGAAATACCGTAAACCTCGTTTGAAATGTGTTTCCAAGGTTGTCGTTCAGTGGGAATCAGAAAATGTGTCTAGGCTTTGCTACAATTTCTTACAATGATGTCATTGCATTTGGCGAGAACATCATGAATTTGCAACATTGTATCCTTCTTGAAATCATCTTCTCTAGCCTACTCCATTCCATTACCATTTCCTTGCTATTTGTTACATTTTAGCAAGCTGTGGCTGTGCGTGTGTAAAACTGCTAGTAATACTATTGCGTGTTGTGTCCAATACTGTACCTTCCCACCACCTAAATGAAGAGGAGGAAACCTTGGGAGAAAATGCAGATATAACGTGGGCGAATTGATGCACATTCACAGTGATGGAAATTATACCAGTCTTGCCTCGGCTGTCAGAAGAGGATGTGTGGCTATGCCATGTTTACTATTTCTATGATATGTCCATTTCTACAGAATGAAATTGCATAGGCGTTCATGTATTCTTTCTGGGATGTACAGTCAGAACATTTTAGCCTGTTTGTCCATTTATTTGAACCCAGAAATATGAAGAACATGATGCATGCATACAATGGAAATAGGTACTACAGGACAGACTGATGGACACAAGGCATGACAGACAGACATCTGAAAAGTACTGTCTTAAATGAACAGTCAGTGCACCTCTGCAAGAATATGGAATATCTAACACATTACATAAGAGGTTTCATGCAGTTTCCCAGCCACACAGACAATTCAGTGGGATGAATAAGACGGAACTAAAAACCTCAGAACCCGCACACTATGCACAGATTTAATTCCAATTTCTTGTGAGGATCTGCATTATTTCAGTGCCGTATTATTTCCAGCAGGACTAATCACATGCGTTTCTAATACAAAGCATATCGTGCTATGAATTTAATATTGACAAGAAATGGTAAACAATGGTGAGAGTGCAGGTTTTAAATGACAGTAGACTGAAAGGCCAGTTCCCTGTTCTGTTGCTTATTATGCACCAGGTTGATGGGCAGTACAGGCCTCCCTGCTGTAACACTGTCACATCAACACAAGGGCTGTGGTTGTTTTTCACTCTGAATGTGATCCAAAGAAACGGTTTAAAGGGGAATATTTGCATGCCCTTCATATGTCCGGTCACTGTGACTGACAACGTGTATTTACATTTAGAAACATGTATAGGACATTTATAAGACTAGTTTACTCTCACTTACATCTCAGAACCTGACCCAAATGTCATACAATCTCAGTCATATTTAAATCCAAATCCAAATTCAATTCCATTCAAATAACTTTAGTTGACAGTACACACCGTTTAAACTTCTGGTAAATGCTCAGGCCTAGCACCTCTTGGCTTGGATGCAATGCTGTGCAGAGCACTGTGATGCTGGTGATGATTCAAGCCTGAGCCCCATTGATTATGACTATATGAAGCACCCCCAGTTGATGTAATTTACAGGGCGCTGACAGATACATCCTGGCCTCTCTTGGCAAAGCCTGCAGGCTTATAGAGGTGTGTTTATGGTTCCATCAGGGGAAGAGTTACACTGGCTGGCCAACTGTCTGTCTGGAACTCACAGTCTGACTTGCTGGCTGTATGGCCAGTCAAGTGTGCACATGTGTGTATTGGATATGACTGACTGGGGTTGCATATATGTCAAGGATCAATGGTATCTAAAGGAGTGCAGGACACAAGAAGTGCACAGGGTGTAGGGTGTAGGGAGCAAGTGCACACAGGGTAAAGAAGGCTTGCGCCTCACTGATGAAAGAACAGAGAAGTGCTGCACCCACAGAGAGAGAAAATGTTATTGGTACTTGTTATCAGTGTAACGACAGCACAGTGAAAAAGGAAAATGGGAAGGAGAAGAAGAAGCACATAAAAGAGATACATTGAGCAGGGAGGAGAGGGAAGAGGGGGAGGTCAATTTGCAGCTTTCTTTAAGCAGTGTCATCAAACAAAGCAGAGGGAGTCTGTGAAGAGAGAGAGCTGACAACAAGGTAGAGACAAAGAGGTTGTAAAGTAACATGAGGATGCAAGTGGGATAGTGAAGAGAAGAAGGGAGGGATGAATAACAGCAGTGTGCAGCAGCATATCACTATATCCTGATCCAACCACTAAAAATGCCCCCCCCCCCCCACTTCCCTCACTCTAAAGTGTACGATGCTCACAGGCTCATCTGGGCGCTCATGTTAACTCAGCAGTCTTAAATTCTGATGATATCATACTGGGTGGAGACAGGCCTCACAAATTACATTCAGTCTTCCTTCCTCGTTTGTCTCTGCTATACCATCTGTCTATCCCTGCCTGCAATCTACAGTCAATTTCCATGACCCAGTATACTGACCATCCATCCTCCCCTACGTCTGTTTCTCTCTGTTTCTCCCTCCCGCACCCATCGTATCTTAGTTTTCCCCTAACTCTCCCCTCTTCTTACCTCTACAGTGCAGTGAAACTCTACACTAATTGCAGCAGTGCAGTGTCACGAGGGATAGGGATGTGATTGGTCTAGATTTAGTTAAATTGTGGAAAGCTTTTAACGGAGAGAGAGGACAGAAACAGACAGCAGTACTCCTTGAAGATTGAAAAGATGTCCCTGCTAATATTGTGTTGCATCGTGTGCTGAAATGGAAAGGAGGAAATGAATGATACTTCGATGACCATATCTGATTTCATTACTGTCTGGCCTGCCATATAAATGGTTTGCAAACCATAATATAGGGACACACTTACAGTATATTTGAATGCGTACGCACACACACGCGCATGCACACACACACACACACACAAAGAAACACACCTCTTGTAAATAGCTATGCATAAAACTCTGAGGTTAGTACTGAATTCAACCTTCAATTCTCCCCAGTTTTTTTAATTATTTTTTTATTTCACCTTTATTTAACCAGGTAAGCCAGTTGAGAACAAGTTCTCATTTACAACTGCGACCTGGCCAAGATAAAGCAAAGCAGTGCGATTAAAAACAACAACAGTTACATATGGGGTAAAAAAACATAAAGTCAAAAAAATACAACAGAAAATATATATACAGTGTGTGCAAACGTAGCAAGTTATGGAGGTAAGGCAATAAATAGGCTATAGTGCAAAATAATTACAATTAGTATTAACACTGGAATGCTAGATGTGTAAGAGATTATGTGCAAATAGAGATACTGGGGTGCAAAAGAGCAAAATAAATAACAATATAGGGATGAGGTAGTTGGGTGGGCTAATTTCAGATGGGCTGTGTACAGGTGCAGTGATCGGTAAGGTGCTCTGACAACTGATGCTTAAAGTTAGTTAGGGAGATAAGAGTCTCCAGCTTCAGAGATTTTTGCAATTCGTTCCAGTCATTGGCAGCAGAGAACTGGAAGGAATGGCGGCCAAAGGAGGTGTTGGCTTTGGGGATGACCAGTGAGATATACCTGCTGGAGCGCAGACTACGGGTGGGTGCTGCTATGGTGACCAATGAGCTAAGATAAGGCAGGGATTTGCCTAGCAGTGATTTATAGATGGCCTGGAGCCAGTGGGTTTGACGACGAACATGTAGTGAGGACCAGCCAACAAGAGCGTACAGGTCACAGTGGTGGGTAGTGTATGGGGCTTTGGAGACAAAACGGATGGCACTGTGATAGACTACATCCAATTTCCTGAGTAGAGTGTTGGAGGCTATTTTGTAAATGACATCGCCGAAGTCAAGGATCGGTAGGA